AAACAAAGAGTGTCAAATGTGAATCTCAAGACCCAACTGTGAGTCACCCAGAGTTTCTGAACCAGTGGTGGGATATCTTCACCACCAGTGTTCTACCCCTACTCCAACACCAAGGCCTTGTCAAAGATGACTGCTCCTATCAAGTGATGGTAGGTTCTGTTTGTTTTCACTTTTATTTCAGGAAATTCAGTGCTGTACTTTTAAAACTTGATATATTAAAAGAATTCAGGAATTCGTAGTAGTATTTATCTTAGAGCTGGGAAATGATAACGACACCTAAAAGAAAAAGTAGATTGTGTGGCAAATCTTAATAAATATGTTTTTGGAATTCTTCTATATATCCATACATTGTAACTATAGAATTCTTGACCCATTGTTCATAAAAATGATGCTTAGATGATTCCTAATATTGTAAATCTATACAAAGATTAAAAAGGGAATGCTTATATGTATGTGAAAGCCCTACCTTCATCTCCAGCACCGGGTGGGAAAGATGGGAAGAATGCCACATTTATGTTGTAGAAACCTCAAACATTTAAATATTTGCCTCTGGTTAAAAAATAAACTTTTTTAACATGAAAATAACAATAATAGGAATACATAATAAATACTGTAGGAATATTCTGATTTCCTACTTTATTCTCCTAAGATCTTGAAATGATCCTTTGTGGGAGTGACAAAACACTGTACATTTTATAATAACAACCTTCATTAGCATGTTTTCTGATTTTAAAGGTACTTTTCTGAGGTTTGTTCTTCATGGTGAATTGGAAGAAGATGAAGAATGTTATTTTACATATTAAGATACAAAAAAAATCAGTAAATGATGAGGTAGTATCCAATGTAGGCATGAGATAGGGAGAAATAAATATCATATTCTGATTCAGTACTGTATCATGACTGATAAATATTCACAGCAGTGGCTAGCAACATAGTTAAGTCCTTCACTGTTTAGTACAATTAGCTCATTCCAACTAAGTAGTTATTGTTAATATCCCCTCTTTGTAGATGAATGATAAGGCTTAGGGAAGTCATAGAATTTTACTCATGTAAAAGGCTACAGTAACAATTAGGACTCAAACTCATGTCTGAAAGACTATAATCTTTATGTACATATACCATTTGATGGCAGAAGAAGGGAGAACTTTTTTGATAATCTATTTGGTTAGCTCCATACCAAGCTTGACCTTAGGGGCATGTCTATTAAAGACATTCACTGTAAACTCAACTTCCTGTACTGTGAGATAGAAATGATAAGCAACCATGTCTTTAACACCTGTGTTGCAAGTAGAAGGCAAAAGCTGGCCTGACCTTATGTTCTTGCTTTGCCTGCACTCTGACGCTGTTTTGTACCTAAACTCCTTGTGGCTTCAGAATATACATAGATTAAGGGTTGTTCACATGTCAGTAAAAACCCTATACCTAAACTACTTGGAGTTTAAGTACATTTAACTATTCATTTATGATTTTACAGCAAAAACCCTTTAGTTAAACTCTTGAGAGAGTTTCAGTATACTTACAGAGTTATAACATTTATGCCAGTAAATTAAGTATAGAAAAATTATCCACCTTTTTTTTTCTGCTAAAAGCATTGCCTATTTTATCAACTCTTCTAATAAGGTTTCTATTACTTATGCAGCTTAGAGCTTTTGAGTAGCAGCACAGGTTGTCTTTTCTGGTTGATTGGCTAGCCATATGCAATGAGATTCAAATTTAAGGTAGAGTAGATTTGCTGCATGTCCTATTCTTTCCAATACACAAGATCTGAGGATTATAAGCCAAGAAAAGGTGAAGATGGGAAACAAAAACAGTTACCTAAAACCAAGCACATTAACAGAAGCTGCAAGAATAGATGCTACTTGCAATCCAAATGAAAGCTTGAACAGGAAATTTTGGTACATCCTCAAACCACTTAGCTTTCCTTCATAAAAACAATGACTTGAGTGTGCACTGTTTCTCCCTGGGTAAGTTCTTTGTGAAGCACAGTATCCGAGGAATTGTTTTGTTTAAGTTCTCAACCTTTCCAAGCCCACATGGATCAATAACTTATCATGAGATTTGTGTTCCCTTGTCAGTCCATCTTACACTTTCTACTGAACTGTTTGCAGCTTTCAGACTTGGTCTATACACTGGCTTTCTCTTGTGGCTTCTGTAGAAAGGTATGCAGAACTTAAACATTAACCCTAATTACTTTGTTCTCCCAATGTTTTCACTGAGTCAAGAAGTCTTCATTTTTTAGGGAAAAAAAATCATATAGCCCTTGTATTCTTGTCTTTTTTGTTGTTTTGTGTAATGCTTTTCAGTTTTTGCATGATAACTCATTTTGGCTTTTCTCATGTTCTGTTTATTGCATTCTTTAAGTTCATCAGAAGTTCAGCTATTAAGGTGCCTCTGATGACTCTCTCTTCTAGGAACATGTCTCAGGAGCTTTGTCACACCTGTCCATTGGGGAAGCCCCAGCTACAACACAACCTTCTATGTCCTCAGAAGAAAGAAAGGAGCGGTGGGAACAGGGACAGGCTGATTACATGGGAGCAGATTCTTTTGATAACATCAAGAGAAAACTTGACACTTACCTACAATAGAAGCACTGCCATTTCCCTGTGGACACATCCACATTTTAGGCACATTTCTGATATTTATAGTATGTGAAGCTGGTTGAAAAGTCTGCTACAGTTGTTACAGGCTTTCATTACACCTCACCAGATGAGGGTTTGGGCAGGACAGAAGATGAGAACTGGCCAGATGTTATGAAGTAGTAATTCTGTTATATGGATAAGTGCTATTTAACCCCAGACTTTTTCCAGAAACTCTTAATCCTTCAGTTGCCAACATATGAGGCAAAGGAAAGCCAAAATTAAGTTCCTAAGATTGTTCTGTGGTACAGAACTTGACTCTCCATCTGTCTCACTTCAAAACAAGGTATGACATTGTCCCATATTTGCTTGTTGTACCCTTCACTAGACCTGCAATTTAGAATTGCCCAAAGCCTGTCAGAGAGTCAATTCTATTTACAGGCTAAAACAGCCTTTATTAACACAGTAGAGTGATTTATAACCCTACCAGCTAATGTTAGTTCAACAGTTTTCTATGCACCATGAAGACAGCATGCAGACTTACTTTTTTTCAGTTCTGTCTACTTGAAAATTGCAGTGTGCTCTCTCTGATAGTTAACTGTGGTAGCACTATATAGAACAAATAAAGACTTAAATACTTATTGACGTATCTTGGTTGTTTAAGTACTTTTCTACCTCACCCTTGGAAAAAAAAAAAAACCATTCAGTAATTTCTCAAAATTTGTGCAACTGGTCAGTTTCAAAAATACAAACCTTCACACTGGTATATGCTTTTAAAATTACCAGTATAGAAAAATTACATCCTTGGGAGTATTCAGATAGTTTGACTCTTGAAACCCGAAATTATCAGGCCATGTCAATAAAATTAGTATACTCAAGTAATCTTTGTGATGGACCCAGTGATCTCTAGTTTTAAAAAACAAACAACAACAAAAAGAAAAACAACACAAATATAAGTTTGCTAGACTTCTGGGTGCCTGAATCTATGCATTCATTCAGTCACCCTAGAGCAATGACCCCATGGCACCAACAGAGAGTATAGGCTGCAATGGGTTACAAGGTGTGAAAAGTGGGGTTTAAAACAATCTTTTATAATCAAAACAGGGTATCACAAATAATTCAGCTGAAGAAAAGAGAGAACACAAATGGGAAAAACAAGGTTTAATCGACAAAAGCTTCAGTGGCTTTTATTGCCATCACTTTTATGGTCCCTATCTTCTTTTCTGTAATATCCTATAGATATCTGAGTCATTACTATTCTGTATGGCTGAATAAATACACAAGGGTTTGGATACCTAAAGACAAGAATGACTAGGAAGCAACTCAGAGGCTGGTAATAAGAACTTTTAGCTAACTTCTTAAATTATATTAGTGATAAAAAATATCTTCAGACACTTGGACTGGTAGCCAATGAGTTGCTATGATCTTCAAGTACAAGAAACATTTACAAAAAGGTCTGAAGTGGCTCTGCCACTGGTCAGATCATATAATGAAATCACAAATCTCTTCTAGTTAGTTTGACAAAGTCATGCTTCTTCCTTTTTGGCTTCTGAGTCTGCTAGAGGTAAACAGAATTCCACCTTATTTTGTGTCTAAGCAATATGAAATCCAAATAAAGTTGTATGATTGGAAATATTTTTTAATATACAAGGGATTTCTAAATATCAAATTCTTTGAAATCAAGCACTGAATTGTTTGTTCTCTATTTTTAATACAGCATAAGTTAAGCTTTAAGGTATAAAAAGCTTACATGATGTTTAGATTTTACATAATATGCATTTAGTGGAGTCTGCTGACGTTATAAAGGTGTATCAAATCATGTGGCTGCAGTGTCACGAAGCAGCCTACCATTTCTTTGGTAGGCTTCATCACCTTCATCTTCCAAAGATGTCTTAATTAAACCTTACTGGAAAAAATATCTTATAGTATTGTTTTTAAGCAGCTCAAACTTAAAAATACCCACAAACCCCTGAAAGTTTGTAAAAAGATGTATAAAAGACAGTAACACAAATTATAAGGTGAACATTTATGGAAGTAATGAATGTGCTCTTACATTTCTATTCCCTTGTGAGTAATATACACACTGTTAATAAACTAAATAGGATTATTTCTAATCATAAAAATATAATTTTTAAGTACAAAATAATTTAGTACACGCTTTGTACTTAGTACTCCCATTGTTCTTAAAATGAGGAAATTAAGTGGAACCCAGTATTTCAGATCAATTTATTTTATATAAACCTCAAATATACACTAAGATCTGAATGAGAACTTCAATAGTTGTACAAAACTTAAATGTGAATGAGTAAATTACAGTAACAGTACTTTTTAAAGTGATTCAATGAAAAAAATGTGCAATATCATTTTAAAAATGAATTTTTTTTCTGTGAAAAAGAAGTCACTAAATGATGACACCATAGAAAGTAATTTTTTTTAGCTTTTTATTGAATTTAAATTTAAAGAAAAATCCAGTTTGAAACATAATACAGTATTTTCAATATATTTCTAAGTAATAAAACAGTATAGCATAAAATTTTTCATTCCAGTGGTTTATATATCTTGAATTAACTTTTTTATTAATACCACTTAATATACTAAAAAAATTGCTTAATAAATTTGATTGTTATGAATATATTTTAAAGCACAGTACTGTAGTTTTCTGGGTAAGCAGCAAATTGCCTTCACTTCTTAGCCTGAGTTTATCTGTAATTAAAATAGGTAAGTGGTTAACAGATAAGCTGGGTTTCTTTCTTTATTTGGGTTAGAAACAGTTTATACTTAATTTCACTGTGTGGGTACTACAGAACCCTAATGCTGTATATAATGACACTGAATTTTTGTGTGATGCTTGTCCTATAAGGTAGAAAATCTACTGAGGGGCTCCTAACCTTAGCAGGACAAGAATGGTTATTCCACTTTCACCCTTGCAGAAATGTCTTCCTAAAAACCATGCCTACCTCATCTGTTACTATGAGGAATGGTACCAAGAAGATTCTTGCTGGCTAATCCTGTTCCTTTGGAGAAATAGCAGGTTGGAGAAGACTTAGGGGGTACGATATATGTCATACACCTTAGATGGGTACCTATCATCTCTCTCATCAGTTGAGTCTCTAGTAGCATAAATAAAATCTCAGATGTTCTTCAGTGTATACCATAAGCCATGAGGCTTTTCTTAGTAATCTCTTTCCTGTATTAAAAAAAAAAAATCCACAGGAAAATAAAACTAATTACAGAACCTGACTGCTTATTTATTTTAAATATGACTCAAAGTCATCTATAATTTTGGGGCAACTAGTAAGCTTTCTTAATAACAAAAAGGGTAAAAAATATGTATGGATCAATTAGTGAAATTCCAAAATTAAATTCTGATTTTAAACACACAAAGGCATTTTTATATTCAGGATTAGATGTCTTTAAGAGTTGAAAGGATTTTGGTGGTTATCAGCCCAACTTCCATTCTGATTGTCATGCCTCTCACATACAGTAGCAGTCTTCTGTATTACAAAAATATATAAAGCTATTTCCAGAAACCATACGTAACTAAAAACAATTTATAGAAATATCTACTTGAATCACATAATGTAAACATTCAAAACAAACTGGGTAGAACTGGTTCCCGTACCCCTAGAGACTATTTACACCCTATGCTTCTATCACTACATTTAAATTTAATGAATGTAGTACCACTTCAGTTAAATGGACACACCATCTTTGATTAGGGCCCCATTTTTTTTCAAATTAAATACTGCAAGTCAAATATATAAATTATATCTCAATAAAGCTATAAAAATTGTGATTAACTTGATCCCTTGTACTTTGATCTTTCCTTTAAGGTTTGGTTATAGATGCAACTATAGCCTTTAAACATCCAATAAAATCTTCCTTATAGTTGTATACATATTTCTTAATGATTTACAAGGACGGTAGATCCACTGAATCATCAATTAAAGGCTTTGGTGAATAACCAAATATTTCCAACAAAGAAAAACTAATCTCCTAGTCAAAAGTATAAGCTATGACCACTTAAGAATGAAGGTGTGGGATACATGGGAGAGGTAGGAAATATTAAGCAAAGGCATTATGCAAAGCTGTAGAGCAAAAGAACTATGATAATCGCTTTCAGGCCAATTTACAATGGAACTTATTGCTATCTGAAGTATCATTAAAAGTAAGATTCATATATAGATATATCAGTAATATCACTTTATTAATATGAAATATGCCCCATATAGAATATTTTCTAGATCTCATTCTTAAATCTGCATTTTTCATGTATAAATCTTAGGTAATTGCTTGAACTGACCTTACAAAAATCCCACGAATTATAAATCAATTAAAGTTCGGATTTCATTGATTTTAGCTTGTTTCATTTCATTAGCATCTGTTTTTTTAGTTCCAAAAGCTCCAGCTGCAAGTTCTCTTTTTGTGTTTTGTATTTTCAACATATTTTCTTCAACAGAATCCTTTACAATGAACTTCAAACAGAGAAATAAATGAAGTTGGTTAAGAACTTTTCAGGTGACAAATGAAGTTCTTTTTCAATTCTCTTTAAAAACCTTACTAATTAGATTATTCCTGAGCCACACAAAAGATTAACATGCTAACAACACTGCCTACTAAAGTCAAAAAGAACATACCACCTTTAAAATAATTTGTATTTCAACAATACCGAAATTTCAAAGTCAAATGATAATATATATGTATGTATATATATATACATACATATATACATACATACATACATACATATATATTTCATACCATTTTACTAGGACATTTTATAGTATGTGTTAGAAATACTACATTATTTCACATTTTAAAAAAATATATATCTTCTGCCCTTTTCTCAACATACAATGAGGATATTTACAACATACGCAAAAGCTAAACATGGCTTCCCTTTCTCACCCAATGTCATTTTCTTGTACAAAGAATATAGTTGAAAGCACAAAAGTTATGCAACCTCCACCATCACCAGAAGAGAAAATCACACACACAAATTATATAGGTATCCCTCCCTATAGCTAGAGTATTATCAAAATGAATTTAGCATTATGTTAGGAGTCAAATGAAGTTTCCACAAATGAAAGTCTTTATGTACAGTAGGAGGTATTTGCCTCCTACTGGCAAAAGATGATTAAGTTGAAAAATTCAAAATTTCTGATAAAAATCTTAAAGGTAATAAAAATTTCACCAAGGAGTAAAAGGCATATCCAAGTCTTATTCAAGATCTCTACTATAAACTTTCTAGGAAAACATTTAATGTGAAGTAACAAAGTGTTCCTAACAAACACTATATTGTATAATGTCTTAATTGCTGCAATATCAAAGGAAATTTTATCATAGAACTTTACTCAAATACATTTAAAAAATTTAGTAAATCCTAAGCAATATTCCTCAAGTAGAATATAATAGTGTAGATTTCAAATTTCCAGTAGTAACAATAATAATAAAATTTTCAAAATGAACATTAAAGAGAACTCTTTATCTGATATCTGATACTTTGTAGAATCAATCAATAGAACCTAAGTCAAGCTGCAGAATCCACATTTAAAAAGCCAGGCACGAAAACAGCAGGGTACAAGATTAACTCAAAAAAAAAAAAAAAAACCCAACCAACCAACCAAAAAAAAAAAAAAAAAAAAAAAAAAAAACCAACCCCCCCCAAAAAAACAAAATCAAGTAGCCCTACAATATACAGATGATAAAAAGGGGCTGAGAAAGAAAACAGAGGAACATCACCCTTTACAATAGCCACAAACAACATAAAATATCTTGGGGTAATACTAACCAAACAAGTGAAAGACCTTTATAATAAGAACTTTGGGTCTTTAAAGAAAAATTAAAGAAGAGACCAGAAAACTGAATGGTCTCCCATGCCCTTGGATAGTAATAATGGCTATCTTGCCAAAAGCAATCTACAGATTCAATTGAATTCTCATCAAAATCCTAGCACAATTCTTCACAGACTTTGAGAGAACACTACTCAACTTTATATGGAAAGACAAAAGACCCAGGATAGACAAAACAACCCTAAATAAAGGAACTATAGGAGTCATCACCATCCCTGACTTCAAACTGTACTATAGAGCTATAGTCATGAACACAGCTTGGTATTGGCATAAAAATAGACAGGTAGACCAATGGAACTGAATTGAAGACTGGAATTAATCCACACAACTACAAACACCCGATTTTTGACAGAGCAGCTAAATTATAAAATGGAAAAAAGAAAGCATCTTCAACAAATGGTGCTGACATAACTGAATGCTGGTGTGTAGAAGATCACAGATAGATCCGTGTCTATCACTATGCACAAAACTTAAGTCCAAATGGATCAAAGACCTCAACATAAATCCAGCCACACTGAACCTCTCAGAAGAGAAAGTGGGACATACCCTTGAACAAATTGGTACGAGAGACTGCTTCCTTAACATAACACCAGTAGCACAGACACTGAGATTGACAATTAATAAATGGGACCTCCTGAAACTGAGAAGCTTCTGTAAGGCAAAGGACACAGTCAACAAGACAAAATGGCAGCACAAAGAATGGGAAAAGATATTCACCCACCTCACATACAACAGAAGGCTGATTTCCAAAATATACAAAGAACTCAAGCTAGTCACCAAAACACCAAATAATCCAATTAAAAAGTGGGGTACAGAACTAAATTAAATTCTCAATAGAGGAATTTAAAATGGCTGAAAGATACTTAAGTACTCAAAATCCTTAGCCATCAGGGAAATGCAAATGAAAACAACTTTGAGATACCATCTTACTCCTGTCAGAATGGCTAAAACAAAAAACACCAAAGACAGTTTATGCTGGAAATGATGTGGAGAAGGGTATACTCCTCCACTGCTGGTGGGAGTGCAAACTTGTATAGCCACTTTGGAAATCAGTACGGCAGTTCCTCAGGTAAATGGGAACCATTCTACCACTAGATCTGGCAATTCCACTTTTATATACCCAAAAGATGCACAATCATACGACAAGGACATCTGTTCAACTATGTTCACAGCAGCATTATCTGTAATAGCCAGAACCTGGAAGCAACCTAAATGCCTCTCAACTGAAGAATCAGTACAGAAAATGTGGTGAAACTAGAAGAAACCATCTTAAGTGAGGTAACCGAGTCACAAAAAAACAAATATGCTATGCAATCACTCATATATGGATCAGCAGCCTATAATCCACACTGCAGAAAAACTAGGAAACAAGGCACACTGAAGAAATATTAGTATATACGCACAAAGATGTGTATATGACACCTTGCACAACAACACTGATCTTATGACAAAGCTTAAGACTACTTAGTCATGATGGCTCTGAGTGCAGGTGCTAATGAAGATTCAGATACTAAGCAGAATGATGGCTGTGAGGGGCTTGGTAGTGGAAAGCAATGCAAAGTGTAAAGGAGTATAACACGACTATAAAAGGATTCTGTTTGTTACAACAGACAAGATCTGTGGATGGATGGTGATAGTGATTAATACACTGTAGAGTATTCCTAATGCAAAAGTACTGTGTGATTAAAATAATGGCTGTAATGGTAAACTGCGCACACATTTTACCATAGGAAGAAAGAGTTGATTTAAATGTATATAGATAGTAAATCTTCAATACATGTTTAAGGCAAAAGAATAAATTATAAAATAATAAAGTATTACCTCATTTTCTTTCATTTTTTTTTTTTACATTGAGCAATATACATGAATAAGAATGTATGTAGTTACAGAGGGAGAAAACCCCTTTGAACATATTTGAAACTATGAAGGAGGAAAATGGGTGAACTTTACATTCTCAATTCTACTTCAATCTTGGCAGTAATGTATTTACATATTGCCTATGTAACATTTAAAAAGCAAAAATAATCTTAAAAATAGGTAGCTTTAAACTCACTTTTGTGATGATAACCTCTTGCTTTTGGCCAAGTCTATGGCATCTGTCAAAGCACTGATCTTCGGCAGCAGGGTTCCAGGCCTAGGGAGAAGATGATTGTATGACTACTGCTTTACTGTGTGAGTCTTCTGCACTAGCCCTTCATCTCAGTATGTGGAATTCAAACACTGACATTATATATGTCCCTGGAAGAAAGTTATTTCCCAATCACAATGAAGACAGGCAGCCCTCTCCCCACATACGGCATTCTACCCACTTCAACAGTAAATGAGGATCTTAACTGGTGTGTTTTAACATTCAATGTTTCAGATTTTGGAATGTTTGCATAAATCCATAATCCAAAAACTCAAAGTCCAAAATGTTTTGAAGTTTGAGTCAGTACTCAAAAAGATCCAAGTTTTAGAGCATCTTAGATAGAAATGTTCAACTTGTGCCCAACAAAAGTCTGACAGGTGTGGCAGCAGCAACATAATGCCCTGCCAAATGATCAGAACACCTTATGATTTCAGTAAAATGAAAAGTTATGACTTCTCAGATGGCTTAAAAGACCACAGAAAAGATGTCATTCTCGGAACTCCATATGAAAAAGTTTCTCTCGTTCTACTGGTTTTCTTTTCCCCATTGATAAAATACAAATAAATACTCTGAAAAGTTTCAAGGGTAGTCAAAAGTCCTAAAAGCTCTTTCAGACTTGTTGAAGCAATCATATGTATCTATGTTTGAAATCAGCTGGAATTCCAAAATAAACTTTAAAAGTACATGAATCTTTCTTAAGCTGAAGAAAATGATGAAATAAAGCAAAAAACAACAACAACAACAACAACAAAAAAAAAAACCAAAACAAGCAAACAACAACAAAAAACCACTACCAACACCAAAAAAAAAAAAAAAAAAAAAAAAAAAAAAACCACTCAGCTACAGAGTTCTTCAGCAGTCAAATGGCTTCAAAATAATAGAGGCAGTTATATTGGTGAGACTCTACAGGTGTAGTTTGGGACATGCTAATATATGTATGAGTAAAGTCCAAGAGTTCACAGCCACACAAAGAATTACAGTTCACTGAGGAATTCTGAGAGTGGGAGAAATAGTCTTTCTTAAGGAAGAACACACCAACTGATTATCTAATACCAAATGGTCAGCCCTGAAAACATTTATACACAAAAGACATTATACAGACTGAGCTGGCTGTATTTATGCATTTACAAGTAACACATACATATATGTTTATAACAACAATTAATGAAATAGGACACAAATTTAAAAGAGAGCAAAGTTTAGAGGGAGGAAAAGGAAGGGAGCTATTATTATATTTAATTTCAAAAAAAGAAATTACTGTCAAGATAACCAGTACATTGTTCCTCACAGCGGCTCACACCTTTGATCCCAGCACTCTAAAGTCAGAGGCAGGCAGATCTCTATAAGTTCAAGTCCCACAAAGCAAGCTCTACACTGTCTCAAAATAAAAGGATTAAATTTGGGGACTAGAGAGATGGATCAATGGTTAAAGTGCTTGTTGCTCTTTCAGAGGATTGGAATACAGTTCTCAGCACCCCATTCAGGTATTTCAAAACCACCAGTAACTTCAGCTCCAAGATATCTGATGCTTTCTGCCTGGATTCCTCAGGCACCTGCTGTGTACACTGTAGATATACACATATAGACATAAATAAATGATAAAAGTTGTAAAAAAGTTAAAATTGAAGATTCTTAAAAATGAAAGCAAGAGGTAGAGGTGGCTTAGTGGTATGAGAACTTGCTATGGAAACATGAAAACTTGGATTTGAAATCCCCAGCACCCACAGAAAAGCTGGCCATCCTCCATGTTCTTGGATTAGTATTGGGGGACAGAGACAAGTAGATTCTAGGAGCTCATTGGTCAGCAAGCCTGGACAAAATAGCGAGCTCCTGGTTCAAAGCCAGATTATGTTTTGATGGAAAAACATGGAGAGCAATAGAGAGACAGCCAATGTCATTCCCTGTTCTACATACTCACTTGTATAGGCCCACAACAAAACACACACATAATCTGAAAACAGTATTTGGGGTAAAGTTACATTTACACAGAAAGTACTAGCTGAAAACAGAAACAACAATAATTCCTGCAGATGAATTCATGCTTAAGCTGTTATTTCCCTCTAAGTTCCCTGGGAACTAAGAACTAAATGCTGTTAATTTTCTGATGCCTTAAGCTGTATATTTCTAGTATAGGAGTTTTGACTTCAGGATATATGAGCTATGGTTCTAACAAAACTTTATGAATTACTTGTATTTCAAAGACATTTTAAATTATACCTAGAGTCTAAATCAATTTTTCCCTATTGCCTGTATTTTATTCCAGGAACAATGATAAGCTGGCAATAGATACTTAGTTTAACTAACAAATTTACATTACATATAAAACATACAACACTCATTCTCACATGTAATGAGTAAGGAGGTAACTAGATTCATCAGGAACTCATAATGTCCATTTAAATATTATCTTACTTATTTAGGGAATTCCTTATGAATAGGTAAAATATTTTCAATGAGATTTTGTTGTTGAGTCTTATTTTTCTGGGGGTTGACTTTTGTTTTTAAGTTAGAAATGACATTGAAAAGTGTGGCAAAGTTCAATGAAAATCTACAAAAGCACTAAAACATTCTGACGTTGTTTTTTAAATTATAAACAAGTGGCCAACTTAAGCAAAAAAAAAAAAAATACTTTTAGACTCTCATCTAAACTCTAAACTGAACTTTAAGAATTATCACTGAATTGCTATGTCACAAATTACAAAATTTTTAAAACAATAACCATAAATTTTATCTTTAGACTTGTGACAGCACTTAGGAAATGTACACCACTGCTACTCATGATTTGCACCCACAGAAGTCTGTACAGCATGACTCTGGGAAGGTTATCCTCAAAGAGGAAACACCTTTAAACAAACACACTCTCTCTCTCTCTCTCTCTCTCTCTCTCTCTCTCTCTCTCTCCTATGTGTATGCAAGTTCAGATCATTTGTCTTTGTAAGAAAAGTGCAAAGTGAATTGTGGTTGTCTTTTCTCTAGGGCCTGAATTACACAACCACAAGTGCCTGTACTCTATCAGCTAGTAACACTTACCCAGAACATGTTGATAGATAGCTAAACCTGAATCAGCTAGGATACATGTCTAAACTATACATTTTTGGTCTCTTCCAGGAACTCCTAAATCTCATAAGAGAGGTTTAAAATTGCATTGCATGTGACCTAATTCTTAGGCAAATTAGAGGTGGCACCACAAAAGAAGCCCTTATGTCTGATTTATAGTCAAATTCCCAGTGCCTTGGCCATACAACACAAAGCAAGATGAAGCTGCTTACTTCATCTAAAAACATTGTAACAGGCATGTTTTATGTATTCAGAAGAATAGAAATGCACAGAATGGTACTTAAGAACTCAAAATCTGACCAGTTTTACAAAGTACTGTGTGATACTGGACATATTGTTTAATTTTATTTACTCTTCAGTGCATCAGTTTTCTTATCTGCAAATAAGGATAATAAGAATAATAGTACTTTTATCACAATTAGTTGTAACTACAAAGGCATCTACCAAGCAGGTTTTGTTTCTCTTCTTTTCCATTTTCTTTCTTTTTTTTCTTTTTCGTTTTTTGTTCTATCTTGAGGTGTCGGGCAAACATTTTAAAAACTCTATTAAGTACTTACTGGATCCATTAAGAATACCCGAGAAGCTGCACAAAGATTCAAGCCAACTCCACCTGCTTTTAAGGACAATAGCATTATAGTCGGAGATCCTGCTTCTGTGTTTTGAAAACACTGAATTGACTCAACTCTTTTCTTTTGAGCCATGGAACCATCTAAACGAGTAAACACAAATCCTGAGTCTCTAATGGGAAAAAGAAAACAGACAAGTAATACTATATTATAAAAAATACTAAATAGTTAACAAATTTTAGTTAAACCAAGTACATTCACTAATTAATTTATGTGGTACTAAAGATTAGTTAAACCCAAGGTCTTGCAGAAGCTAGGTAAACACTTTCCTAGTCACTACACATTCATTCCTTCATTCATTTCTCAATAAGGCAAATGATTAAGCACCTAGCCATTTGCCTTAATTTTAAGTTATTATACTCAGGAAAAGTTTTGTAGTTACACTATTATTTTAAACAGATGAAATGACTAAACCTATAAAATACTAAAACATTGTTTTTGCTATCAAACAATACACATGTATAAAATCATCCCATGTGAAGTAAAAAATACTGTTAAACTTACTTAAGTGGTGTTTCTATTAAAGACAGGAATGTGGTAAACTGAGAAACAACTAAACTTTTTATGTTGGGGTTCTCTGTCCGTAATTCAATCAAAGCATGCATTAGAGCATTAATCTGAAAAAAAAAATCATACCCATTAGATCAGATCTCATAAGTCCAAACATTCAAGTTTTTAAAAATGTATTAGCAAAAACTAATTTTAACCGGGTTCATATAATGCAGTATTCACTGAACAAATCTGAGCACTGATAGGGTTTTCATATAATTTAAAAAGGAAAAGTGAAAGAATAGAGACTGAAAAAAAAAAAAAACCATAATAAACCAAATTCCTTTCTTTTCCACCTGAAATTTAACACTAAATATAAACACAAGACTGTAGCACTAGAAGAATAAGAAATGACAGGACTAAAACAGAATTAGAGTTACTATTTTATTATATGACATTTCCTTATTGAAAATGAAGTAACACTAGAATATTTGCACATGGGCTCATTACCTTTGAACTGGATGTCCATTCCATTTTGGATTTTTTCTCACTGTCACATGCCAATTCTTCTGGAGGACATTCTAATAAATTATCTCCATGTATATTATTTCTGCATAAAGGGCATTTAGCATGTGGCTAATACAAAAGAATAAAGAAGGAACCATACTTGTCATAAGAATAAAGATATAAATTTTTCTAAATTTTCTGTAATGCATAGAAGTTCTACACTCCTTGTGGTTAACATTTTGTTTGGGCTTTGTGTCACATTCATCAACTTGGGATCAACTTTGTACATGAACTGCAAACACATAAACATAAACCTCATGTTGTAAGAGACATATACCAAGAACCGAGTAAAAGAGTGCAATCCTGACTAATGGCTGAAACTTAGAGCACTGAGTATCATCTGTTACTAAATAAAACATGAATAACACACTCAACTTAACTATAATACAGTAAACATGCATGCAATTCTTCAAAAGAAAAAAAGTGCTTAATGCAGTGGTTCTTAACCTGTGGGTCATTACCCTGTTTGGCATATCAGATACCCCACAATTGACTGATGGTGGTGGTGGAGGGGTAGATAAGGGTAGTAGTACATGCAACTAATTTTCCCACATGTACATTCCACATCAATTTGAAATATTTTCAATTTACAATAGCTGCATTAGCTGAAAGATTGCTTAAAATATTATTTGCTTTCAATAGAATTTTCAAAAGAATCTAATCCTAATTTATCCTACTTTGTTCAACATGGCAAAGAGCTGCAAGTGTCTATCAGATCTCTGAGACATGGCCAAGCCAAATTAGGTACAATACCACCAGATAAAAGTATAATACCATCAGATTTTGAACTCAGTTTAGGAAGAAAATATAATAAGTAGTTTACTTTAAATATATTAGACTAAATTAAACATGTTGCTTTTTACTTTTTAAAAGACACAGTTACTATAAACCTTAAATTCATTGTGTCTCACTTGATTAACATATTTAATTGAACACAAGGATCAGAAATTAGTTCCAAATTTAGTTACTGACTAAAACATAGTGCCTCCAAAAAATAATGCCTTTTAATTTATATACATCACTTATTACAACACTGAAATAATTAAACATGAAAGGTATATTACTAAATTCAAGTACAGAACATGTTATCATCCCCTGAACTTAGTTGGGTTTTATTACACCAAAGAAAGTTGTATCACTCCATCAAACACTGACTCCATACTGAACAACATACTAACCTGCTCACTCTGAATGACCTGGCAGATACAAGGTTTACAAAACACATGTGCACAATGTGTTATCACAGGAACTGTTAATGAATCAAGGCAAATTGCACATTCTTCATCTGAACCAGAGCTCAGAATTAACTTCATCTTCTTTATTAATATATTCCTCAGTTCTTCAGGTGTATCATTTCCTAGAAATAAAAGAGGCTCAAAAATAAATTGCAGAACAAACTATGTAATTTAACTATAATAGATTACCTTATATAAGGAACTTTGCTTAACTTCTTTCATCTTTATTATGGCATTTGAAAAACACAAGTTCATAAATTTAGAATTATAAGAAGATGCCATTTTACTTAATACATATCACATAAGCATAAAATAGTATCTTCCACATTAGCAGTATATGAGAAAGAACCAGTTTGAATGTTCTTCTGGAAATCCTGCAGAGATATCAGACTTCCATTTCATTCATAGAAAATGCTTGGAGTCAGAAAGATGGCTCAGCAGGTAAGGACACATGACACAATGCTTGATAACATGAATACCATCCCCAGGACCGACATGGTATAGAAAAAATTGACTCTTCCAAGTTGTCCTCTGACCTCCATGTACCCATGCATAGTTACATACACATAAAGATGTAATTTGTAAACTCTTAATGAAAGCAAAGCATAGCAATGTAACAGAAGTCATGAAACTCTGTCCTTTTGAATGAAATATGAATCAATCACATATCCTTACCAGAAGGACCACTTGAAGACATTCCATTTGTAAGAATATGAGTATGACAACAAATCTGCCGCAATCTAAGCAGAAGACCCAAGACATCTGCATAGTGTGCAAGGACAGTCCCTTCAGTAAAATACCTAGAGATAAAATGCCACATATTATCAACATCTGTAAACAAGAATAAAAAGAAAAGTCACCCCATATTTAATAAAACCAAGCAAAAAATTGAGCTAGGTAAATGCCAATAAACATTGACTGCATTCCTCAGCTGGTTCTTCAAAATAAGAGGTAGATATACACTGAAAGGAAAATTAGTGTCTGTCATGTGAAAACAGAAATAGAGTGTATGCATGGTGACCTGAATTGTCTACCAATTCTCTCACACACACACATACTCGCGCACACACACGTGCTTGCTGAGTCAGGAGGCTATGGCACAATAATAAGCAATTATAATGCTTCTGATCTCTGTTGTATAAACATCAATAAAACCTAGAAGATTCACATGTGATTCCTATGAATAAGAAAATTAGGTATTTCTTCATGGCCTGAGACATAGCTAGGAACTTTATATTAATTTGGACAAACAGCTAGTCCAGAAAGAACTGAAGATAGTCAAATATTAAATAACCAACACAGAGCAAAGAAGGCAGTGAAAGAACACTCACCAGGGAAACTTACCATAGAAAAAATAAGAATTATGACTGTATCACCATGATTTAATAAAACTTCCACCCCCCCCCAAGAAAAGAGTAAATGGAAAAGATAAATAGATTTTACAAGATGCAGCATGTCAACAAAAGACATCCAAGCATCCAAGACAAACCTGAGAATAACAAGGAAAAGGAAGCCACCAGAGAAAGAGTCATACTATGTCTTAGTTAGGGTTTCTAATGTTGTGAATAGATACCATGACCACAGCAACTTTTATAAAGGAAAAGATTTAATTGGGGTTGGTTTACAGTTCAGAGGTCTAGTCCATTGTCATCATAGCAGTGAGAATGATGGCATACAGGTAGACCTGACACTAGAGAGGTAGTTCAGAGTTCTACATCTAGATTAGCAGACAGCAGGAAGAGAGTGGCACACTAGGCCTGGCTTAAGCATCTGAATTCTCAATACACACCTCTACAGTGATATACTTCCTTTAAAAAGGCCACACTTCCTAACAGTGCCACTCCCTTTGAGCCTCTGGGGGCCATTTTCATTCAAATCATGATACACTAAAACCAATGACAAAGCCATAGAAAAGGAAATAGGACTGAGAAAACAAAAATTAGTTACAAAGGATTATAAATAAATTAATATTGGTAAAAAGAAGATGAAACACATTTAAAAGACACAGAAATTTTAAAAAATAGAACAAAAAGTACATTTTCTTTTTGTGGGTGGTGGCAGGTACATACATAGAACCCAAAGATTTAAAATTGTGCTATTGTTCAGATGGAACTGCTAGCTTGATCCTGTGAAAGCATCATTCCTTTCTCTCCAAACCCTGCCTTCTCAGAGAATCTCCAACAAACAAAAACTCTAAAAGCCCTGTTCTGTATTCTTGGCAGCTGCTGTGGCTACTCCCTTGAAACAGTCAGTGGCCCAAGTCCTTCTCCAAAGTGTTATAATTGGGCACAAACCCAGCTTGTGGCTGTTATGTCATCACTGCTCACCTACAGGGTATACAGCATCTCTGCTTTAGTTTGGCCATGTGATTTTCTCCTGTCCCTTCTCCCACCTTCATCTCTGGGGGCTGGAGGCCTCACCAGGGAGTGGCTTTGCTCAAAATAAATCTGTTCTTCCTTACCCATCAAGGAAATACAAATCAAAATAACTCAGACACCATCTTAATCCTGTCAGAATGGCTAAAATCAAAAACACCAAAGACAGTTTATGCTGGAGAGGATGTGGAGAAAGGGGATCACTCCTCCACTGCTGATGGGAGTGCAAACTCGTACAACTATTTGGAAATCAGTATGGTGGTTCCTCAGGAAAATGGGAATCAGTCTACCACAAGATCCAGCAATTCCACTGTTAGGCATATACCCAAAAGATGCACATTCATACAACAAAGACATCTGTTCAACTATGTTCATAGCAGCATTATTTGTAATAGCCAGAACCTGGAAGCAACCTAAATGCCCCTCAACTGAAGAATCAGTACAGAAAATGTGGTGCATTTACACAATGGAGTACTACTCAGTGGAAAAAGCAATGGAATCTTGAAATTGGAAGGCAAATGGATGGAACTAGAAGAAACTATTTTGAGTGAGGTAACCCAGTCACAAAAACACAAACATGCTTTGTACGCACTCATATATGGATTTTGGATACAGCAAAGGATTACCATCCTACAATCCACACCTGCTGAAAGGCTAGGAAACAAGGAGGATCCTAAGAATGACATACATGGTCCCCCAGAGAAGGGGAAAGGGGCAAGATCTCCAGAGTAAATTGGGAGCATGTGGGGAGGGGAGAGGGAGTTAGGAGAAAGAGAAGAGAAGATGATGAGGGGAGAGGAGGGCATGAGGGATAAGGAAGATTAAGTCAGAAAAAGAATAGAGGACAGCAAGAAAGGACATACCATAATAGAGGGAGACATTATAGGCTTAAAGAGAAGTCTAGCACTAGAGAAATGTCCAGAGATGTACAAGGATGACCCCAACTAACAATATAAGCAATAGTGGAGAGGCTACCTTAAATGCCCTTCCTCGATAATGAGATTGATGACTACTTTATATGCCACCCTAGAGCCTTCATCCAGTAGGTGATGGAAGCAGAAGCAGACATCCACAGCTAAACACTGAACCGAACTCCTGGAATCCAATCTCAGAGAGGAAGGAGTGATGAGCAAAGGAGTCAAGACCAGGCTGGAGAAACCCACACTAACAGCTGACCCAAACAAGGGGGAGCTCAAGGACCCCAGTCTGGTAGCTTGGGAAACCAGCATAGGACTGACCCAGAGCTCCTGAATGTGGATGTTAGTTAGAAGGACTGAGCAGTCTATGGGGCCTCTAGTGGTGGATCAGTATTTATCCCTAGTTTACGAATGGACTTTGGGAGCTCATCCCACATAGAGTGATGCTCTTTCAGCCTAGACACTTGGGGGAGGACATAGGTACAGCTGCAAATGATATGACAGAGTGAATATTCACCATGGAAGGCCTCAGCCTCCCTGAGGAGCAGAAAAAGGATGTGATAGGGGATTGTTGGGGGACAGGGGAGGGTAAGGGAACTGGGATTGACATGTAAAACAAGCTTGTTTAAAATTTAAATAAAAATATTATCAAAAATATAAACCTGTTCTTTTACTTTTTCAATTTGGCTTGATCTAGTTTGCTGTGTCAGTGGAGAATCCCTATTATGGGGCACAGAAAAGCTAATTATACATGCTTTACTTAGCATATGCCTTGCCTAAAACTTTGGGCTCTTTATCTCATCAAACTACACAATTCTAAATATCTTTCTGCCCTATTTGTTGCAGACCTGAGAAACAACACTGAAGTAGTCGACCCTGAAATTTCCTCAGCCAAATTAGTCCATTACCTTTTAATTCATTTACCTTCTCAGGATATGTGAAAAATGTTGCCAGACTCTTTGCCAGAATATAACACAAATAGCTATTAGCCCAGTATGATAGTTAATCTCCACTGTCAACCTGATAACATTTAGAATCATTTAGGAGTCAAGTCTCTGCAAGATTATATTGATTAGGTTTAGTGTGTAAAACATAAACTCCGTGTGGGTAGACACCATTCCCTAGGCTGGGATCCTGAACTGTCTTTAAAAAGGAAACAGAGTGCAAACAGTTGTTATTCTGCTTCCTAGCTGCAGATGCAGTGTGAAAAGTTCCCTAGCACTGCTGTCACTGTGACTTTCCATGTAGAGGTAGACAATAACCTCAAACTGTGAGCCAAAGCCTCCTTTCCCTTGAATTGATTTAGTTACTAGATTTTACCATTGGAACACACACACACACACACACACACACACACACACACACACACACACACACACACACACACACACACACTCCACAATTTTCTCAGCATTCTTCTTGTTCAATTTCTCACCAGAATGGCTTGCTCATTACATTTTTTCATTCTGCTTAGAACATTCTAGCTTTTCTAGCCCAAAATTTCAAACTTTCACATTCTTGTCACAAACTCCAAAGGCTCAGAAACCACTTGGTCAAGTTTATCAAGGCAACAATCTGATTTCTAGGCACCAATTTTCAGTATTAATTTCTTAATGCTATGACCAAACATTTGAGAAGAAAGTAAAGAATGTAATCAGTGCACTATGAGGCAAGGGTCTCTAAAGAATAAGATGGTTAGGAAGTTGAGGTAAACAATTTAAATTGGCAACTATCTTTGAAAAAGTAAGGTTTTTTTTTTTTTTTTTTTTTTTTTTTTTTTTTTTTAAGAGTAGGATGGTAACCTGTATAGTATTACAAACAGGTATATCAGCACGACTTACAAGATGTAGAAATCTAAGAATAGGAAATGGTAACAATTAAAAATAATTAAAAGTCAGAAGGTGAATAATTCCACTTCAAGAAAAACATCTCCCCACAGGGATCAGAATGAGAAAAACAAAAGAGGACTATAAACTGGGGACTCTTCATATCAGAGAAACTATAATGAGGTAGGCACAAAGCAGATGTAATTAGAGAGATAAAAAAGAACAAAAAAGGAGATTTCCAAGTTCCAAATCTTAGTAGGCTAAGTGAAATTTCTTCTCAAACTATTTCAATCAAACTTGTACCTAACACACACACACACACACACACACACACACACACACACACACACACACACAGTAGGATACAAATAGATTTAAATGAATTTATATTTTCAATAAGATGAAATAGGCAATTTAAAAATATTAAGTTTTATGAGGGGTGAGGGAGGCAGAGGGATGGAATCAGGAAGTACTAAAGCTATTATTATAGGTTAGTAAGGGAAGACTTAACTGAAAAGTTGATATGTAGAGACAACAAAACAAGATGTGGTTCAGGTATATGTCAAAACAGAAAACAAGCACAAAACCGACTCTGCCTTGTGTGCCTACGCCCATGACTCTCAGAAATGGAAGGAAGCAAGTTCCTCTGACTATTGACAGAAATCAATATTGTAAATAAGCTTTAACTTTTTGTAGGCCCAAGAAACTACTTACCTGATGGATTATACTTTTGTTTCATTCATTTCAACTAATTTTTGTAAAAGAAAAAAATTTAATGTATAAGCCATAGAAAAAAAGTTTTCAATATATTTCAGACTTTATAGCTAAAGTATCCAAAAACTGTAATTCAGCTAGTAAGAATCTAAGAAAGCAGAGAAAAAACAAAAATTTAACATGACATTCTTTTTCCTTACCTTCCTATGGTAGCTTTGCCTTCATTTTTAACAGACTGATAAATCTTTCTCTCTTCTTCTGAAAGTGTAATGTACTGAATAAATACTTTCCTTTCTGGCAGCTCCAAAACAGGTTTCCCTTTAATTTTGCTTGTCTTTGTTCTTCGAAGGGTGATATTTTTAATTAAGGACTGTAAACGCCTAGTCAATATAAAAAAATTATACAACTATTTATAATTAATTGAGAAAAATGGAACAAAACCCAAGAATTTATTGACTTATAATTTTAATAAATTAAATGTTTTAAAAAATCCTTTATTTAGGCTTTTAAAGTCATAAAAATTTTCTACAAATAAAAAAATATTACAAAAAGAGTAATGAAATTGTGCCTCAACACAATACAAATAATCATATATCATGTTTGTTCTTACTTTTCCAAAGCTTTTCCGGTTTTGTCGTCATCATAGACACTTTTATTCCTCAACTACCTTCTAATCAATTATACCACTCAAAACACAATATTTGCATTCTTACTAAGCAGCTATTATTAAGTTTAAGGTATTTTATAAAACAGAGTACAGATAGGAGTGAAATGCTATCTTCTGTACTCTAAAGTAATCCTCTTACGAGTTAAAAAAGTCTCATCTAATGTAATATGAAAAATAAAAGGTATAAAATGAAAATCAAATAAACTTCTTATAAATTAGTGAATAACTGAAAAATAAAAACATGCATACTCAGAAGAGAGGAAAATGCCTTACTAGGCTCCGTAATCTTGCCATTTTAGTGTCAAAATTTTAAAAATGAGGCTGAAAAGTTAGAATATTTCTGATAGTAAAATACAGAATTTTTAACTTAGACTATATAGAGAATAGTTTTCAGGAATCATGTGGCCAGTTTTGACAGTTAAGATAATGGTTTAAATTTTGAATCATTTTCACTTTTAACTCAGTCAGAAATACATTTGACTCTATCTACCAATAACAGAAATAAATATTCAATACATATAAATCATACATCTTCACTTGGAGAATGTATTCTGGTATTTTTCAGATTCTCTATTATGTCTCTGTTTCTTTTCACTGACTGCACCTTTATGATTCTATGACCCACCATTAACTACCAAATCCTATTCAGACAAACACTGTTCTAGAACCACAGCAGCCAACTATGTGGCAAAACACCCATCAGTGTTTTCATTCCTTTCTCAACTTTTATCTGTACCCACCCAAATCAGCCATATGACATGTTCATTTGAGATCACTATAGATCACTGTACACTGTGTACTATATACCACATCAAATGCCTCTATAAAAGTATTTTAAGTTATTAAAATATAATGCATAGTGAGTCATCAAAGGATGTAGCTTTTCCTATCATTGTTGAACCTTTCTGTGTTGGCTTTGGGGTGATAGCCACACACAATGACCATAAAGCTCTGCTTTTCCTTTCAGTTTTGCTAGTAGGGAAAAAGTGCACAAACAAGAATCTTGTATCCCCAGATCAAGTTACCAGGTTTTACGAGTCAGTGTCATTGACTCTCATGTGCTTTGTGACTGAAGTTGCAAGCAAAGTGAAAATGGCAATGGGCATGGCAATTTGGCTGCACTAACTGGTGCTAATGTATCAGCTGTCATAAACTTACCTAAGTCCTCCCTCATCTCCCATTGTAACAGGACGCTGTATTGTTCTATGCCACCATTCTCTATCAATAAACGGTTTAAGCTTTAAAAAGGACAGAAGAGACCACAAGTCCTTTAAAGAATTCTGGATAGGTGTACCTAAAGTAAACAAATGGGAAACCATTATAACTCTTCAAAATTAAATTGATTTTGTGGTGCTACGGATCACACAGATTAAACAAGAATTCTACCACTGAGTTATAGATCTTTAGCTAAGATATTCACCAGGCCCAATGAGACAAATAAGAGTTGAAAATGGACACTGACTCAGCTCCTCATATACTTAATGTGGCAAATGTTTGATCACTGAGCCATCTCCTTAGTTCTGATTTCCTTTTCAGATAATTTGCTTTTGGTGTGTTTGGGTCCCTACAACACAGTCAGTAGAAAAACAATCAGGGTGAGGTAGAATGAAACTTTTTATTATAATATAATCTTAGAAAAAAGTTTCTGTTTTTCTAAAAATGCCAATCCTATTTATACAATGAAGCTTAAAGCATGACTACATTGAAAGTTATTTGCAAAGTTCATGTAACCATGAATATGGGTTCTATAACTTTAAGGGCCTAGAATCTGGTGTGGTCTTGGACAGAGATAGAGGTCAGTTGGCTATAGGTCACATGTGACATCTCTCCTAAGGATGGTTCTTAATTGACTGAGAAACAGATAAAGGTTTAGGGAAGGAGAGTCTGGGATAAACATTCTAGGGGATTTGGGTGAGATCTACCTCTACAGATAGTAAACATTGCCAGGTTATTAACAGCATCCATTCCCAAACTTCTGGTTGGAAAACAGGTATTCATTTCCTCTACTGAGGAGACAACTCTGATGTTTAACAGCTCTGGTTTCTGCAATGCTTATCTTTGAGCACTCATGTGATGGGAGATGCCATTATGTATATATGTTTCTCATACTGGTTAATAATAAAGCACTGTTGGCCAATAGGAAAAGAAGATAGGAGGGACTAGGAGACAAGGAGGAAATAGGAAGTAGTAAGGAGGAGTCAAGATGGAGAGTCTGAAGAAAGCAGTATGCCGCCGGCTCCCCGGTAAGAGAAATACATAGATCAGCAGAAATGGGTTAATAATTAAAGGCAGAGCTAGCCGATAAGAAACAAGTAACCGGGCCAACGGTATTGTATCAAATACAGAGTCTCTGTGTATTATTTGGGGCTGGCGGCGGGACAAGACCAGCGGCGGCAGGCGGAAAAACCGTACACCTTACACTCATGTCCCCTACATCTCCTCATTTCTAAGTTTTTAAAGAAAAAAAAAATAGTGGTCATAATGGAAACCATGGTAGGATGCATTGCCTCTATGGCTATGCAATCATAAAAGAATTATAACAGCTAGCAGAGGACTAAGAAAAGGGGAGTGCCATCTTATGAATGAATCCAAGGTCAGGATAGATTTTGTCTGTCTCTTTACATAAATCATTCATTTCGCCATTAATATATAAGGAAAATCTGACATATTGAAACATCACATATCAGGAAATTGTTGACAACTAAGATTATGCTTGAGCAGCAGCAAATAATCTACTGTAGCTCTATTTTGTAAAACTATGGTCATCATTAGTCCATAAAAATGGTAGTGAACTTTGGAGGTTGATTTTGTATCCAACAACTTTGAATTTTAATTCATTCTAATTCCCAGAAACTATATAAAGGCAGACACAGTAGCATGGATCTGTAATCTCAGGGATCATACAAGATGAGAGACAGAAACAGAATTGGAAGCTCACAGACCAGCTAACCTGGCATATGCAGTAGACCCTATCTCAAGCACAGAGAAAGATGAAGACTAGCAACCAAGTTTGTTATGTAATAATCTACATGTCCTCTTATCTACACACAAACACACACACATACAACACACACACACACACACACATACACACACACACACAATTAAGCAAATCTGAACTTGATCTCTTAGAGATCAAAAGAAAATAGTGCTTCCCAGAGGTTGAGAAGAAGAATAGTTGGGTTCCCAGAGGTTGAGAAGAAGAATAGTTGGGGGGAAAGACTTCTCAATGGTTATTAAGGTATAGCATGGCAAGAAAAATAAGTTCTGCTGTTACACTGCACAATAGTAGGATAATGATGGAGAAACAAATAATGCCCTATACATATTCTAAAAGGTAGAAGAAATTATTTTGAATGCTTTTACTATAAAAAATAAATAAACAGATGTAACTGCCCTAATTTGAATATAATACAATGAGCTCTCATACCACATTAAGGTTCATTTGGGCATCAATTCAAAAATTCTAATAAAAAGATCAAGGCTTCAAGATGGATCAGCAGATAAAATGCTTGCCACATGACTATAATGGGATCCACAGAAATCACTTAAATTCTAAGTGTGTATAGCAGGTTGCCTGTAATACCAGTGCTTAGAATAAAGATAGGATTCCCAAAGCTGGCTGGATAGCTAGCCTGTGAGCTCTAGGTTCAACTAAGAGACCATTCCTCAATGAAAGGTGAAGAATAATCCAAGAAGATCCCTAATACTGACATCAAGCTTCCACAGAAATACACACACATTTGGATGCCCACCTGCACACATATATATGCCCATATGCAAGTGAATTCACAGACACACAAAACTTAAACAAAATTTAAAAAACTGTATGCTACAGTTACCTGTCAATACCCATCTTCTTTCTGCCTCTAAGTCAAGTACAGCTTTTGTCTGCTGAGCATTTGGATTTCGTATGGCATGTCCTTCATCCAGGATCACTCTTAGCCATTTTATGCTATGTAATGGACTATCATCTTTAGTCTGAAATAGAGGTTTTATATGAATTCAAAAAGCTCAGTAAAATAATACAGTACTTAAATGTTTGTTAAATAATCGTACCTCTGATCTCTCCTACCAACTTTTATTAGGTACCTGGTACTGTGAAGTACTCTAAAGCGAACATACACAAGCCTAGAACATTATCTTTATTTTATAGCTAAGAACACCAAGGTACAAGATACAAATATGTTATTCAAAGTACAGCTAGCTCCTACTTCAAGCTAAGAAGTCTACTGAGTTATGTATAACACAATGAACCATTTTGAACCAGATTGAAACAGTGACAGAAGTCATCCTTTGTGAGGCATTTTTCAATGTAACAACCTTACTGTGTTTTATACAAACAGTAATGTTCTTTCCAGAAGATTGAGATTATTACCATATAGTATTTCCAAAATAACAGGAATTGTTAAGGAAAATAACAGGCTCATAAAAAGAGTTGAGAACCTAATTAATGACTACTATAAACAAAAAGAATATTTTCAAACTGTAACACTAAATCATTAAAGAAATAAAAGACAATTTTTCATATCAAAAAGAAATTTGTATATAACTTGTGATAAACACTAGATATAATCCAAATTTAAAGTTTTAACCTAAAATGTTCTAAATGACAAATATTTCCAAATTAGTATCTCAAGACAGTACAAACTCCTTCTTTGTACCCCATTATCTACAGACATTCTTAGGCACTTTCAAAGAAAGAAAGGGAAGAACACATACTATGAATTTTAGATTAATTTAGAAACATGAAAGAGAGTAATTAAATTCAACCTTTAGAAAATTTCTAGGTAGGGCTAGAGAGATGATTTAGTGGTTTGGAGTGTTTGCTGCTGTTGCAGAAGACTCTGATTTTGTTCCCATCATCTATATCAGGTTACTATAGCTACAGGGGCTTACAAAATAGCCAGCACTATCACATAGACACACACATGATTTAAAAAATAATAAATATATTTAAAGGCTTTAGGTATTTGCATACTTACTCCATAATCATGAGTTAAAATATTATAAGTTGTTAAAACAATATCCTGTTTTGAAAGGAAGGCTGGATGTCTAATACGATCAGGGCCATAATAAACATAAAAATTCAAGTGCACTTCTGATTTTATATGTTGTCCAAACTGGTCCTAAAAGAAAATAACAATTATTTTAATAAGAAGCAGCTAAGTATCAATTTTAGCATGCATATCAAAGAGCTGTGCTAGCAGGGATGTCATAAATCAGTTTTCCTATAATCCAAAATTAAAGTATGATAACTATACTAATTAGTATCATATTGTATCAAATTGTAAAACTGACAAACACATAAAACATGTTATATAAATTTTGCCTTTCATACTAATGAGCAGCCATTTCACTTATATATAGCTATTTTATTACTATGTAGTCTTCTTCCTGACTCTGCTTCTCAAACACTGAAGTTAAAGGTATATCTAGCATGTCTTCAATTTTAAGTTAAAAAAAAAGTCTACCAAATTACTTTGTAAACAACAGGTTTAGATGATTTTTGAGGGGGGGGGGAAACAAAGAGAGGTAGAGAAGAAGGGAGGGAGGGAAGAAAAGGGAAAAGGCAAAACTAGAAAGAAGATGACATGGACACAAAGCTAGCAAAGTCTCAGGTGAGAACTGAAACTCTAGGACCAGAATAGTAAAAGCTGGCACAGAATGGCAACAATGAGAAAAAGATGTTAATAAGAAAGAAGATTGGTACTTGAGACTTAAGTATGGGACACGAGGAAAGGAAAGTAGATGGTGATGTCCTTATACTTCAGATGACTGCCTGGAAGAACTGAGTGACAAAGGTATGGAAAATTTTTCCCAAAGAGTAAAGAAAATACTTCTGATTTTTGGTCACTGTAGACCAGTGGTTCTCAACCTTCCTAATGCCACAGCTCTTTAATATGGTTCCTCATGTTGTGATGACCCCCAATCATAAAATTACTTTTGTTCCTACTTCATAACTGTAATTTTGCCACTGTTATGAGTCAGAACATAAATATTTTTGGAGACAGAGGTTCGTCAAAGGAGTATCAATCCACACGTTGAGAACCACTACTGTAGACTAGGTAGAGTTGTAACACGGAACATGAACATTGGCCTGACAACAATAAAGAACCACACTATGCTGTTTTGGGAGGAATGACATAGCTGAGATAAGGTTACAGTATTCCAACAAAGAAAAGAGTAAAGCAAAGATGGCTACACTCTGGTAATTCTTGGGTCTTTCTGAGTAAATGAGGATCTCATTAAATTTTTTTATAATTAGTTTTTTCTTTTTAAGCTCACTATATAAAGCAGCTTGGCCTCAAACCTCTCAAGCTCCCAAGAGTAACTATATATGAACCAGAAACAAAGCAAAGCAATAGTGGTCAGAAAAGTCATAGGAACAAAGAGGACGAGACCCAGAAGACCATGAAGAGCAGACTCAGGGAGGAAATATGGTAAAGTGTTCATCTGCAACTCATAAACACCTTCCATGCAGAATGATTCCAGATGACATTCTAAAAAATGCAAAATGTTCTCCAGAGTGAGGGGAAAAACTACAGCTCATAAACATACAACAATGAGGTCAAAGGTTTCCCCAAAGGGAGTTTCCACAGCAAATGAGGATAAAACAAATTATAGTTGGTTGAAGAAAAACACATAAAAGAGAAAAGCCATAATATGCAAAGTTGGGGGGAATCTGAAGTAAAGATAAAAACACAAAATATTTTTTTCTTAGGTAATCTGGTAAAGAAGAAATTCAGTATGAGGAGGAATTCTTAATTAAAAATTCTAAATCAAATGGGTGGCAATGAGATGGAATACTATGTACTCATGGAAGAATAAAACTTAGAATGGGAAAAAAATCAATACTTCCGGAGAGGAAATAACAGGTGCTATGTCTCTAGATACTCTGTGTGTCATGCAGCTTACTGACAGGATGGAATGGGTGATTTGGAATACAGTTAAACAATCTGTCTTAATAAATATTTAAAATGAATTCATGGTATTTGTGGAACTGGTATTTAATATTTTACTACTTTGACTATTTTCCTTATCTGCAAACAAATGGGGTGGGGGTGGGGCTGGAGAGATATCTCAGCAGTTAAGACCAACCTGTTGCTCCTACAGTGAACTTGCCTTTGGTTCCCAGCACCCATACAATTTGTAACTCTAGTTCCAAAGGTTGAATGCCTTCTTTATAGCCTCCATAGGCACTTTTGAGTACATCAATACACATGAAATAAAAATACAGATCTTTTAAAACAAAAGAAGGGGAGGAGGTAGGTTCCAATATGTTATGGGAAATTTTGAGTGATTAACTTGGAAGAGTACATTATTGGAACAATGAAATACTGTTTATTGTGTGTCTCTAAATCATAAGTTCTCAACCTGTGGAGTCAGAACTTATTTGGGGATTAAATGACCCTTTCACAGGGGTTACTTAAGATCCTTTGAAAATATAACAATAGCAAAATCACAGTTATGAAGTAGCAACAAAAATAATTTTGTGATTGAGGTCACCAGAACATGAGGAACTATATTTAAGGGTCATAGCATTAGGAAGGTTGAGAACCACTGCTCTGTATGTTTAAACGTCCATTATTCCTTTAAATTTTTGCATAGTATTATTTTCTGAGGTGTCCCTTCTAAGTTTATATTACTTAAACTTGAGGGTTTTAAATATAAAACACGATTACCTAATATATATATATATATATATATATATATATATATATATATATATATCCAGCCATCTATTTTTATCTCATTTTTTTTTTAATGTGGTGCTGGTCATGCTGGGCAGTATACCATAGATCTATGCCCCTTAATTAACCATTTTAAAGACACATCTGTAATGTGAAGCCTTTAGAAACTCACACTTATATTACTTATGTCACTATCAGTATTTCTAAGTTTCACCTTGATCCTATCATTCAAATATACACTTATAGCCCTTGCTAAGGCAAACTACACATCTAAAGAAAGACCACAGTTTTACTGCAATAATAATGGGTAATGGGGGGGAGGGAACATCACAACCCATAAGCCTCAAAAGGGAAGAATGATAATGAGTAAGAGAAGGAATAATTTATTTTAAAATAAATAAACCACAAAAAAATGTCATAATGTAGAAGAGAAAACAATATAATGTGAAGAATAAATGCATGAAGTCAATGCCTAAGAAATAGTCAAGAAGAAATACAAAATCAAGAAGAAAAGAGGAATATAATGTCAAAAAGAAGATAGTGGGTACGAGTCATTCGGAATCTCCCAGTATAATTCTGACATGTAAAGCAGAAGTCAATACAGTGAGTTAAGAGCATAAAGCAGACATTAACCTCCAAGAACTCTAATAGGGAAGGGTGCAGAAAAGCAATAATTTCAAGGTGAGACAATTAAAAGGAAGTACTTAAAATGAAGGTCTACATATTTTTCATGAAAAACCCAGTGGAATAGACTGAATAATCAAGAGTCGGGGAAAAAGAACAGAAAAGTGAAATGGGAAAATGGAATAAAACAAAGCAACAGTTTTACGAAGAGCAGGACTTTCTCTTCCTGATACAGGTGGAGGCAGATACCCTGGAAGAAAGCAAGCTCACACACAGTGGTATTTATGTTCAAACACTTCCAAAATGATCTTATTTTGTTATAAAACAAAGCTTGAGGTTCAAATCAGCAAGGACAAATAAAGGAGGCTCCTTCTTATAAACAACATACAAAGATCCCATTCCAATGAAATGTTCTTTAAAAAGAAAAACAATCTACAGGGGGGAAACCTGTTTTTCTGGTTGGTAGTCTTAAAACAAAAGACTCTGAGGTCAAATGTTGGTGACCACAGTTGAGATCTCTGATGCACTTGACTGGATGGGCTTAGTCAAGTTATTTAATCTCTCAATTTGGTCACCTGGAAACTGAAAATAGTGAGAATTAAGTGAGAAAAATCTATCAAAGAAATTAAGGACAAACCCAAGCAGACAGGAACACATGTAATGCTATACATGGTTATATATTTTAAGTTACTATTTGTGGCATTCTCACAATTCCTGAATTTAACTTCTAAACATAATAAGAGTGTTAAATTATAAACATGCCTCTCTTAGAGGGAACATAATGGTAGAAGTAAAAGTACAAATCAAAGCTTCCATTAGCAATTGGGAAGTTATTCATATAAGCCTTCAAAGAAAATATACTTCAGTTTAGCAAATGTAATTTACTTAACAGACAAAATGAAAGTCACATATATACCTGACAATACTTTCTTACAGACAAATATGATACCCACTTTAAGCAGAAAGGCTTTACACTTACAATCCAATTGCTCAGCACAGAAAGTGGACAGATGATCAATGTTGTTCTTGCCGTCTCTCCAGTGTCACGTTTCTTTGAGCCCTCCATCACAGATGTCCCTAAAGGAACAATGTGTTGATAGACTTTATCTGCTTTTTAAAATACTGAGATACACCTCAATATGGTCCTCAATATGGAAGATGAAATTGAGAATTAAAAAACAGGAAATTAGTGCCGGGGAGCAGTAGCACACACCTTTAATCCCAGCATTAAGGACACAAAGGCAGGTGGATCTCTGAGTTTAAGGCCAGCCTAGTCAACAGAGAGATTTCCAGGATGTCCCAGGCTACAGAGAGAAATCCTGTGACAATAAAACATTTTTAAAAAAGGAGATGGGCTGTTTCCAGTCTCTCTCACTCCATAAAACCAAAAATGGAATAGTGATTATTTATCAAAAAGAATCAGAGGACTGTAACTGGATACTCAGCAGTCTTCCCTCTTTAGTTATACTTTCCCAGAAACACCCTCATAGACACAACCAGGAGTGTTTTTATGGAGATTTTAAACCCAATCAAACAAAGATTAATTATCACAATTCCATCTCTTCTCAACTTAACACACAAGCACATCACTTGAAGTCATAACATTGCAGCCCTGGCCCCTGAACTTTCATGTTCATCTTAAAATGTAAAATGTATTTAGTTCATTTCTAAAATTCCTCACAAACTTTTTGAATAACCCCAACTTCAATAGTTCAAAGCAAAGATCTTTCTGAAACTCAGAGCAATTTCTTAACTGTGAGCCCTTATAGCTTCCTCACAAATATCCGAAAGTAGTAGCATCTACAGTATCTTGGAGCTTCCACTTTACCTAAGACCATACACACATTCGTAGTTTATGCAATGACCTCCCACATCTCCTGGCAGGATCCTGCCACACACTTTCTTGCCTCAGCAGTTTTTGAAACTTTGACCTAAGCCTCCATGAACCTTGTATTATACATCTTGTATGCCTTGTATGTCATTTGGACAACACTTTCAAGTTTTGTAGTCAGCTCAAAACTTAGCTAGTCCCTTGGACCAAAGATACAATCACTTCTATGTATGTACTTTTAAGGCTAACCCTGAGATAAAACTACTCTGGATGGCAACTGAGGAACACAGAACACCTTCAGTGGCATTCTATGTCTTGGCTCTCTCCTTTTAAATTCATCTGCCCTGATACAAACTGGAGGCTTCAATGGGTAAGGTCTCTCCCTCTATGTACTTCTCCTATTCCAATGTAGCTGTCAGATTATTTAATGTTGTTAATCTCTGTAAAAATTATAGTGATGGCCAGTGAAGAATTTTGCTGGGATTTTGATGGCAATTGCAATGAATCTATAGATTGCTTTTGGCAAGATAGCCATTTTTACTATGTTGATCCTACCTATCTAAGAGCATGGGATATCTTTTCATTTTCTGTTATCTTCTTTAATTGCTTTCTTTAAAGACGCATAGTTCTTGCTATATAGGTCTTTCACTTGTTGGGTTAGTGTAATCCCAAGATATTATATGTTGTTTGTGGCATTGTAAAGGGTGATGGTTTGTCAGCCCCTTTATCATCTGTATAAAGTAGGACTACCAGTTTTTTGTTTTGTTTTGAGTTAATCTTGTATCCTGCCACTTTGCTGAAGGTTGTTTATCAGCTGTAGGAGTTCCCTGGTAGAGTTTATTGGGTCACTTATGTAAACTATCATATCATCTGCAAATAGAGACAGTTTGACTTCTTCCTTTCCAATTTGTATCCCACTGATCTCCTTTTGTTGTCTTACTGTACCTTCAAGTACAATATTAAAGAGATATGGAGAGAGTGGACAGCCTTGTCTTGTTCTGAATTTCAGAGGAATCGCATTAAGTTTCTCTCCATTTAGTTTGATGTTGGCTGTTGGTTTACTATATATTGCTTTTATTATGTTTAGGTATGTTCCTGTTATCCCCAATCTCTCCAAGACCTTTATCAAAAAGGGGTGTAGGATTTTGTCCAATGCTTTTACAGCACATAGTGAGATGATAATATGATTTTTCTTTTTCAGTTTGTTTATATGGTGGATTACACTGGTAGAAATTCATATGTTGAACTATCCCTACAACCCAAGAATGAAGCCTACTTGGACATAGTGGATTATTTCTCTAATGTGTTCTTGGATTTGATTTGCCAATATTTTATTTAGTATTTATTTTTTGCACCAATGTTCATGAGAGATATTGGACTATAGTTCTCTACCTTAGTTGTGTCTTACTTCATATGGAAAAACAAAAGACCCAGGATAGGCAGAACAACGCTGTACAATAAAGGAACTTCAGGAGGCATTACCATCCCTGACTTCAAGCTCTACTATAAAGCTATAGTCCTGAAAACAGCTAAGTTCTGGCACAAAAATAGACAGGTAGACCAATGGAATCAAATCGAAAATCCTAATATTAATCCATACACCTACAAACACTTGAGTTTTGACAAAGCAGCTAAAATTATACAATCAAAAGAGGAAAGCATCAAAAAAAAAAAAAAAACACACACACACACACACACACACAGAAGAAAGAAGAAAGCATCTTCAACAAGTGTCGCTGCCATAACTGGACTGGATACTGGTATGTAGAAGACTGCAGATAGACCCATATCTATTGCCATGCACAAAACTCAAGTCCAAATGGATCAAAGACCTCAACATACATCCAGCCACACTGAACCTCTTAGAAGTGGGAGGTACCCTTGAAGGAACTGGTAAAGGAGATCACTTCCTGAACATGACACCACTAGCACAGACACTGAGATTGACAACTAATAAATGGATCCTCCTGAAACTGAGAAGCTTCTTTAAGTCAGACACAATCAACAAGACAAAATGGCAGTCCACAGAATGAGAAAATATCTTCACCAACCCCATATCTGACACAGGGTGATCTCCAAAATATTCAAAAACTCAAGAAGCTAGTCACCAAAACACCAACTAATCCAATTAAAAAGTGAGGTACAGAACTGAATAGAGAATTCTCAATAGAGGAATTTAAAATGGCTGAAAGACACTTAGGAAAGTGCTCAACATCCTTAGCCATCAGGGAAATGCAAATCAAGGCAACTCTGAGATACCATCTTACTTATGTCAGAATAGATAAAATCTAAAACACCAATGACAGTTTATGCCAGAGAGGATGTGGAGAGAGGGGAACACTCCTCTACTGCTGGTGGGAGTGCAAACTTGTACAGCCATTTTGGAGATCAGTATGGTAGTTCCTCGGGAAAAAATTGTAGTTTTTTGTCAACATGGATAAGAGCAGTGAAGAGTAACCATAATACAGCCTAAATGCTATCCTGTCTTAAAATTCCTATGCCAAATAATCAGCCAATCAATGCTTCTTAATTCAGCCCCACTCAAATGGTTAAGACAGGGATACAATGAAGTAAGATTCTTTGCCAGAATGAAACACAAAAGGCCACTAGTCCTGTTCCCAAGAGAGTCCTTAGAACCTGATGAGCCAAGTCCCTACTATCTTTACTTCTCTCAAAATTCTTATCTTCCAAATTCCCACCAAAACGGCCTATTAGTCTCTTGTTAAAGTGTGTCTATAGCCTGCAGCTCCAAAATCTTTCACATTGATGCTGCAAACCAGTGCTAAATAAATGCTTACAAACCAGTCAGGTTTAGCACACCAATAATACTATTCCTCCGTACCAATTTTCTGTTAGTTGTTGTGACAAAATACCTTATAAAAACAAATATTTATTATGACCTCTAAATTCAGTATATATTGCCCATTATGGAGGGGAAACCATGGCAACAAAAGCATGAGCAGCTAGTCACACTACATCCATAGCCAGGAAGTACAGAAAAGTAAATGTTGATCTCCACTCATTTTCTCCTTATTAAGTCCAGGACCAGCTCATGGAATGGAACTGCCTATTATATTCAGGATGGATTTTCCCCTCTCTTAATGTTTCAAGATTTAAGTTTAATTATGTGTGTGCATATCGTGTGTGTGTGTGTGTGTGTGTGTGTGTGTGTGTGTGTATGTGTGTGCGTGAGCGTACACCTTAAGAGGTTGTCAGCAGTAGTGAGATCCCTTGGAGCTGGAGTTAAAAGAATTTGTTAGCTACCTAACATTCATGTTGGGAACTGAATTTGGGTTTACTGGAAGAGTAGTATGTGGTCTTAACCCCTAAGTCATCTAGGTTCAAAATATACCTTTGTTTACTAATATTAATTTATTTACTTAACATCCAGACCCCAGCCTCCCCTCCCTTCTCTCCTCCCGCTCCCTTCCTGCACACCCACCCCTCTTGTACATATCCACTTGGAAAGGGGCAGGCCTCCCCTGGGGATCAGCAAAACATGGTATATCAAGCTGTCGTAAGACCAAGCACCTCCTCCTATATTCAGGCTGGGCAACACAATCCAGCATGAAGACTAAGTTCCCAAGAGCTAGCCAAAAGCACCAGGGATAGCTTTATGCCTATTGCCAGGAGTCCTGCAAATTGACCAAGTCACACAACTGTCACATATATACAGAGGGCCTAGGTTGGTTCCATGTAAGCTCCCTGGTTGTTGGTTCAGATTCTGTGAGTTCCCATGAGCCAGGCTAGCTGTTTCTGTGGGTTTTCCTCTGATGTCCCTATCTTTCCTCCCTCTCCTCAGCAGGACTCCCCAAACTCTGTCCAATGTTTGGCCATGCCTCTCTCAATCACTAGATGAAGGTGCCCAGATGACAACCTAGGTAGTCACCATTCCAATCACAGGAGATGGATTGTTCAAGCTATGCATCCACTGTTGCTCGGAGTCTTAGCTGGGGCATCATTGTAGACTCTTGGAAGTATTTCTTTTATCAGGCTTCTACCCCATTCCATAAAGACCCTGTTTTCCAGTCATCTTTCTTATCACCCTCCCCCTCTGCCTACCGCGAACCTGATACTTTGAGTTTGCATGCTTATCCACTACCAGTCCTCTATTTCCCCTTTCCTGGGAGATCCATGTGTCCATGTGTTCTACCTTTGGCCCTCCTTGTTACCTAGTGTCTCTTGGTAAAATATACCATTTTTAAACAAGCTACATTCAAGTCTACTTTTATGCTTTTATGTCCATATTCTGTTTTATGTCCTTTCTATCATTTAACATCGGAAGTCTTTTATTTGTTCATTGCATCCCTCATGATAGCCCAATAAGCCATGGAAATAAGATCTTGTGGTGTACATGGAAATCAATTCTCTTAGTCATCTATCCTTAACTCTTTTTCCATCATATTCATAAGCAATGCTATTTTTCTATGAAAATAAAAATTGTAATAAAGATCACTGACATTCTTAAATGAAAAGCAAATCTGAATCATACTAAAAGTTAGGTCTTTATTTAAATTTATCCAAGTTAAGCTTTAAACCAATCAAAAGTGACTATAACAAAAAAGGGGGATAAGTGGAAAACTAGACTTACTGACCCTTTTTCAACATTTTCTTCTTTGTTGCAGAAGAGGATGAAATAAATGCATGAGAAAATCCTGTATCTTCTTTAACCTTAGAATATCCTGATGAGAAGAAATATCACAGAATCATAAATGTTCTTTACTTTGCCTCCTTAGGCACTTTCTATATTCTGCAACTTGAGAGATTATATTATTAAATAATAATAGTATCTGGTAAGTAACATTGCCATTTATGACACTAAGCATATCTCTACAGCTCAGAGAAATGATGTGATCACACCCCAGCTATTGTTTCTCTTAAAAGAAAGCAGGAACAGACACATGCAAAAAGATTCAGCTCCCAGAAAACAAAGCTGTACCAGTATGAAGCTGCAAAATTTCACATCAGTCCAATGGTAATAAGCTTTTTTCAAAATGTAATATAATTTCTCAGCTAACTAGAATGACAATAAAGCACGTTTCAAAGATTAAGGAAATGGTTTTTTATGTGCATAATTTGAATGCTGCCAAGAAGACACTCCAAACCTGTTCATTACTACTGTTTATGTGTGTGTGTGTGGGGGGGGGGGTGCACACTTTTGTATATGTGTATGTTTGTGTATGCTTGTACACATGTGTAAAATTACAAAGTTTGATTTAAGTTATTTTATAAGTAGAAAACTGTTTTATCTAAATTGGTTTAAATATTATCCATTAGATTTTTAACTTGAAATTATTTATTGTATTTGGATCACTTAATTCATTTAGCACATATGGTAAGTTCATGAAAAATTCAAATGAAGTGAAGAGTTCAAAATCAGCCAAATTTTATACTATTGCAAATCTTTCAACCTAATGTCAATTAATGATTGTTTTATTTTAAAAATCATTACATGCAAAATATATAAGAAGATGTAACATATACCTACCTTTTACTCTACTTTTAGTATCTGACTGTGTATTTTTTAGCTTGCCTAAAATAAAAAAATAAATAAAAATGGAAAAATGGACACACTAGGAAATTAGAATATATGACAGAGTATCAAATCAAGTCATATTACCTTTCATTGTCTGTGGCAGTTCACTAGTTTCTATTTCCTCTGAATCACTGCTTTCAATGTACTGAACAGCAATTTTTCTTCTGAAATGGAAAGATTCAAAATAAAATATAATAAAGCAATGTTGAAAAAACACAACACAGAAATTGTTTAACTCCCATTTGTAATAAAATTTTTTCCAAAAGAGTCTCTTGTTTGCCAAGCAAAAGTCAGATAGGCTAAAAGTTTCTTTCTTTTATGACCATACAGCTGCACTTATAAAATCTAATACCAACAAGATTACATTTGAAAAGTTATTCATATAGAGTTCTATGTTCAGTAGTTCAACTAAAACACTGATATAAGATTAGAACCAAAAAGAATTGGCCATGTAGAAGATGGCAGATGACAACTACATACGAACTGCTAAATTCACAAAGTAAAGCAGGGACTGTGAGAGCCACTGTCCTGTGAGGGGAGTGATGACAGGAAAGCACTAGTTTCAGTAGCAGAGAAATACTGACGAAACAGAACAGGAATGTCCAGAGTTGATTCTAAAGTACTCACGTTCCAACTGGGGCATTCCCCAAAGAGGACTGAGAACAACTAGAGAGGATGGCGACCTCAGTTTAGGACAAACAGGGCTTCAGACAGTCCTACTCTCAGTAAACGATTATTTATAGAGCAGTATAAAAAAAGGGAGGGAGGACATCATCTGTACAGCCAATTTGTACAACATCTGTACAGATCCAAGGACAAAACAAAAATCACTAAGCCAAAGAAAGTACACCAATACCAGCCACATATCTGAGAGGATTTACCGTTGAACCATACAGGAATTTGTGGGCATATATTTCATATGTGTGGCTGGAGCAGAGATTAAGAAGTCATTTTAAAAGACCTATGTATGCTTTGATAACAGGTTGGTGAACTCTATGCAGAGCTCCTCTCTGCATTGCCCAGGACAAATGTCAGGGAACTATTCGGAGTCCTGGAATATAAAACACTTCTAACAGGGGTGGGGATAGAGCTCTGACCAGAAACACACAGTGTTCCTAAGTAGTAGAAATAGAGTCTTCACCATGGACTAGAATAAGATTCACTAGTTCTTCAGAAGTAGGACATGTAGTAGCAAGAGCATAAAAGTTAATTAGGGCTCCTGCTACTGGAAACCCTGCTGACGGACATTTCTATAGTTACAATGCCTACAAAGCACAACCTCTAGATACAAGGCAAACAAAACAAAGATCAACCAATACAGGAAGCTTTAATATCACACAGATTTTCCTATCACCGAAAACACTACCCAAATAGACAGAGAAGAAAACATATAACAGTGTAGACATAGAATGAGTACCTGCATTCATGCAAGTGTTGGCTCAGACATATTTTGTATCTACACTCAGGTATGTGACCACATAGAGAAAATCACCTGTATACACACAGGTGACCATACTGAAACAGGCCTGCACCACCAGCATGAAGTAAGTGACTGCACATAGTCTGTAAGTGAACATATACAAATGGCTCCAGAGAGATAGGTAGAGATTCACTGAGTCTGCACTAGCCCTGTCAACAGTCAGTCATAATGGAGGAGGAGTTCATGGGGTCCTATTCTTCTCTGATACAGTAGTGGATACTGATAGATTTGGAAAAGGAATGTAAAATCAAGCCCCTGGCTGGAAAGCTCAAAAGCCCTGAAGTAGAAACCACTATTGCTGTTTTGCTAAATGGTCATGTTGTAAAATTACCTTTTAATACTTGTTTATACCTACAGACTTGGGCTATTCTTAATCTCAATGAGTGAACCTTTTTTTTTTTTTTTTTTTTTTTTTTTTTTTTTGCAGTGGACTGCAGTCAATGCAGACATTCACAATTGATCAAAGTGCTGAAAATAAGAGATCAAGTTATCATCCCTTAAGTGGGACATATTTGTCATTCCCTATTTTCTAATAAGGTTTACGAAATGTTGGCCAAGAGGACACAAAAACAATGTATGAAGTGGTAGATGGAGAGGAAAGATATAAAATGCAGTCTTCTGAACATGACTCAGCTATCAAATTCATGAACTCACTGTGGTTACCTGCACACAATAAGGACAGTCAAAACCCTGACGTGGGTTGAGGTTTTCTCTAGGCCCACTCCTGAGGTCCTGAGGTGCTACTAGAAGCTGATAGTTGCTAGAAGAAAGAGAACCATCCTTCTTTTTTTTTTTTTTTTTTTTTTGAGAGTATGGGCTACTGTTAGGCTTCCCATCCTCCAGTAGATGGTCCCATATTCATGAACCTATGGGCAGCACTAACTAGACTTAATGGTCTATCAAAAAAAGAAGTGAAGGAGCAAGAGGAAGAGGAAGAAGAAGAGGAGAAGGAGGACGAGACATGAAGCTGGAAGAGGACAGATTGAGGAGGGAATTCAATTCTCCCAAAAATAATGATGATGTTCTATTTTGTGCATATATGAAATTCTCAAGAATAAAGAAATATTTAAAAAAATAAAGAAAAAAACAAATAAATCCTGATGGGGATGTAAGGAAAAGGGGAACCTGTGTGCTGTTCTGTGATGGGAGATGTCATTCTGTAAATATGTTTCTCATACTGGTTAATGAATAAAGCACTGTTGGCCAATAGGGAAGCAAGATAGGCGAGACTAGGAGACAAGGAGGAGAGAGGAAGTAGTAAGGAGGGGTCAAGATGGAGAGACTGGAGAGAGCAGAACCGCCAGCCGCCTCTCTCCGGTAAGATGAAACCATGTGGAAATACATAGATTAACAGAAATGGGTTAATAAGACAGAGCTAGCCGATAAGAAACTAGTACCTGGCCAACAGCATTATATCAAATACAGAATCTCCATATGTTAATTGGGGCTAGTGCGACTGCAGGACAAGACCAGCGGTGGAAGGAAAAACCTTACTCCTTACAGTTCTGCGAATGGAAACTGGTACAGCCATTGTGGAAACAATAATGGGCCATCAAAAGCTAAAAACAGAACTACTGCATGGCCCAGTTATATTATCCCTGCATATATATTCAAAAGACTGTGAGTTAACACACTACAGAGATACAAGCACATGCAGCTAGCATGGATATCCCATCAACAGCCAAATGAGTAAAGAAAGACATGTTACATCTATACAATAGGGTGTTAACCATAAAGAAAAAATGAAATCATGACAAGAAAATGAATGGAATAAGCCAGACTCAGGCAAATAAGAAAGATACATAAAGCCATATATACTCAAAATTTCTCCACACATATTTATATAACATCAAAGCAAAAGGGATACTGAGAGAAAAAAGGTTAGAGGGAGGTGAAAAATGGCAAAGGAAGGAGAGGAAAATGGACAGGCTATGGAGGGTGAATATGAATGAAGTACCTGGTATTGAAAAATATTGTCTTTATGAAGCCTACCAGTATATATAATACACACCAATTAAAGAAAATTTGATAGAGCCTTTGAAGATGAATAAGAGGGGGGAAAAACCTGACATCAAAGAAAAGGGAAAATATGATTACTGCATAAATTTCATGAAAAAAGGATTTAAGGACAATAGACTTTGGAATTAGACTACCAAGACTCAAATGCTTACTCTACTAGTAACTATGTCTGTTCCCTCACTTGGAAAAAGGTACTAAGAATACAACCAACTGCATAGCATAAATGTGATTATATATAGCAGGCCTAAAAATACTACTATTCTGAAGAGTAAGTTTGTCTGTATTGGTTATAGTACACACACTGGCTGCTGTTTGAACACATTTTCCCTGTTATATGTTCATTTCCTTTTATCTGATCTATTCTACCTAACAGTTCTATATTACATAGGCTTATGACTAATTCAGTTTTTATATTTCACATTTAAAACAGATGGAAACAAGGCTAGATTCCAGGATTAAGATCACTGGCTTCAAAAGACCTAGGTTCAATCCTGCACCCACGTGGAAACTCACAATGGTCTGTAACTTCAGCTGCAAGAGAGATGATGCCGCCTTCTGGCTTTCCTAAGCACCAGACACAAAAGTGGCACACTGACGTACATATAGGCAAACACTTATACACAAAATATAATAAAATGAAAACATTTTTAAATAAAAAAGAAAACTAAGTAATGATTTTGAGTTCAGTTCAAGAGAGGATTAATGACAGAATCATCAACTAAACCATATTTTGTGATTACTACTGAAGAATTGCTAGTAGAGATTTAGGCACAAGATCACATCCATTTACACTGATGGGAGACCACACTATATAACAAAAGTCTGGTACCTATACCTAGTTGACAGGGTAAGTAAAGTTTATAAAGCTAACAGATTCAAGGTAAGACCAAACAGGAATAATATCTTTTATCTACATTCTCCTTAGAGTCTAGTCTGTGTTAACTCTTCACAAATAATTTTCTGAACAAAGCAAAAATGCTATGTTAAGCTTTCCAAACACATTTATTTCATCCCTCAAAATCCAAAGGAAAACTCTTAATGTCTCAAAAAGAAAATCTATATCAACAAAAATTAGGGGGAAGTGGTAGTGATTATTAAAAATAAACCACTTATTTTATATATTAATATTGCTTTCTCTTTTAAACAAAAAAATACAGGGAGACTGGCAACATGACTTAAGAATTAATAAATTATTTTATCATTGTGATTTAACAATCTGCAATTAGAAATACAGTACTCATCTCTTTCTCTTACAAGAAAATAGAGGAAGAGTGTAAATACACATGCCATGTAGCTTAACCCCAATACTTTACCTTTTAGGGCAGATACTAGACAATTCTGACATAGGATACTTCTTATTTTCCTGAATATCTGAAACACCAGGTTCTTCACTACATCTGGATAGCTCTATTTTAAAGAAATACACAGAATTATCAGATTGTCTTAAAAGAGCCTCATTGCTCTGAAAAGCTTAGTTTTTCCATAACTAAACTTAAGCTTTAATAACTTCACTACTTTCAAGCCCCCTGGTAGTCTTTCTGCATTTCTCCTTAACTAGTATTTTCCCACTGGGATGTATGTATATATGTATGTATGTATGTATGTGTATATGTATGTACATATATGTATGTGTGTGTATGTGTATCCTCATTTTTTATTATCCAATAAAAATGTCTTTTTCCAGTGGTCACCCACCAACCCAGAGGCTAAATTTACTTCTGTATAAAAAACACTCAACAAGTCACACACACACCCCCAGGAGGGTAGACCCTAATAAAATACTAATATAAATCTGTATTTTCAAATACTAGTTGTGACTTAGCAACCTTCCTAATCACTGTTTAGTCCTCCCAGGCTCTATAAATTCACCACTGTTGGCTTAAACTCAAGTTTATTTTCTTCCCAGAGAACTTCATTAATCTGCAATGAAAATTTGATGCCATTATCTATTATAGTTCTATTCCACCTCTCCCCCACCACCTACTTGCATGTGTACTCCCTCAAACTTAAGAGTGCTAATTTATGTAATTACTCTTGATCTTGAGTTCTCATTTTCTCCCCTAACTTTACCAAAATTCTCACCCTATAAACAAGTATATTATAAAAAAAGCAAAAAAAAAAAAAAAAAAAATTATACTCACTTCTACTCTCTGCGAGTGTTTCCTATCCCTTACTGCTACCCCAGTCCTTCACAGATCTACACATACACATATACGGTATTTTCAGCTTTGTTCTGCTTCAACCTGGCTTCAGCAAGTAAAGTATAATGGGTCATGACTGCTAAATCACAGTTGTCTTCCCTTCTTTGACTTCAGAATTGTTTCTAATTTATCTTTCTATCTTTCTTTGTTTGTAACTATGCACACCACATTGTAATACAATGAAGTTCTAAAACAAAGTACTTTTTCTTTAAATTGTTCTTTTAGGAAATTTTTCTCTCAATTAAAAACATTTCCCCTAACTGGTATACTAATAACCAATTATTTTCACAAAACCTTTTCTGATTATCAATCTTCATGAAATTCTGCAGAAAAAAAAATATCCTAAATTTTTGTATATTGCAAAATCCAAACTAGAATTATCTTCGGTAAGAAAAACCAAAAGTAGTCAGACCATATTCACAATTAAAACTCACCTGTGCTTAGTTCATCTGCCTCTTTGTTAGTATTACTTCCTCCCAGTTTGACAGTCTCATCCTTGTATACCTATGTAAAAAAGGCATTTTCTTCAATGGAGTATCAGTTTTAAATGACATTAAGGTTAAGTTTGTTTTATATTGCTTTACTTTATAAAGACTATTTAAAGTGCTAGTAGATTTCTTAACATTTTAAAATTGGTGAAAAAGGAGGAAAAAAAAGCAAAATAATATACAAACTGATTTAATTTTTTCTCACCAGTATCTCAAAAATAAAAATCAGGAGAAGCTTCTCTCCTACTGATTAGTGTTTATGGAGCTGGAAGGTCTGTGTATACCAGCACAATGGAAAAGAAATCATCACTATTATCTAGCTATGAGAAGACCTGCAATCTATAATAATGACACACTTGCAAGATGCATAAGCACAATGATAGTACAAATGTTTATTAGCGTAACCAACCACTTTTTAATATTGGATTTAAGCACCATTCCATGAGACAGAACATGTACATGGCATTGCTACAATATCCCAGAACCCGAGACTAGGTAAGTCTTGGGAGATTTCCTAGGGGGAAAACCTACTATATCATTCTGCTAAATAAACACAGCTATAAAACAACTCCTAATGGCATATTGCTATACCCACGTACCAGTTCATTGCTCAATTCTCATTAGAGAGAAATTTATTCTTGCAGTAGATGGTAACAAACAAGATATAACTTTGAAACACACATAAAGTGATAGATTTTTAAGGACTCAGCTCAAAGTGAAATGACTTTATCAAACTTCTCTTCCCTCAAGGCTCAGAGTCTATGTGGATGAGTAGGCAAAACAATTGTAAGAGTCAGATGACGCCAAGAAAACTGCATTTTCCAGACACAACAGTGATGGGAGATGCCATAATTTATATATGTTTCTCATACTGGTTAATGAATAAAGCACTGTTGGCCAAGAGGAAAGGAAGATAGGAGGGACTAGGAGACAAGAAGGAAAGAGGAAGTAGGAAGGAGCAGTCAACATGGAGAGTCTGGAGAGAACAGAACCGCCATCCCTCCGCTCTCGGTAAGACCATGTGGAAATACATAGAAATGGGTTAATACTTAAGAAGAGCTAGTCGATAAGAAACTAGTACCTGGCTAACAGAATTATATCAAATACAGAGTCTCTGTGTATTATTTGGGGCAGGCACGGCGGCGGGACCAGACCGGCTACGGGAGGAAAAACTACTCCTTACACAACAGGACTGATGTACATTATGAACTCAGAGTAACAACACACACAAGACCTACACACATTCAACTGGACAAAAATCCCAGCACTGGGGAAAGACAAATAGGCACAAAGTCCCACCCCCAACACAAGAAACTATTTTCAACTGATACTTGTTGGGAAAGAGAAAATCAGTTTTCTCCAATGAAGTGACACTAGCTATATAAAACACATTGCAGGACAGGCCCCATGCTCAGAAATAGTTGGCTAACACAAAATGGACTCCATGTTTGTAATGTGCTTTTATCAGTGTTTTCTTTAGGTATCCTTTTTATTGTTTTCCTTGCACATCCACCAAGGTCACCCCCCTTTTATGTTTTTGTTATGAGAGAAAGGATATGAAGTTGGGAGGTAGGAAGATCTTGTACAAAATTGTTTTAATCCAATAAATGCAAGAAATAAATAACTTTCCTAGTTAGCTTTCTAATTATACACTTCCACATTTGTTTAAAATATGAGGAAAAGCAATGAATGCAATTTTCCCCTAAACTAAAAAAAAAATAAAAATTAGTTGGTCTTAATCTTTCCAAATGAATACAAGCATACACACACACACACACAAACTCAATTATAAATGTTACTGTGAAAAATACTCATGAGATAATATTTACATTGGAATGAAAAACTCACATGCTAAATTTTCAAACCAGGATTCCCTATATGGTAAATAAGGTATCTACCTTTAGGCAGCCATTACCATACTCTTTTCTGGAATTCCCAAAGCTAGTAAGATATAGCAGTAGTATTTATAGCAAAAATAAATAAAAATAAATGAATCTGAGATTCTAGCAGCTTAAATAAAGCCCCTGTAAATATAAAAAAAAATTTTTAAATTCAATAATAAGGTCTAAGGAAAAGTAGTGTACATGAAAAGCAAAATACAGAAAGCATCTTTGTGCTGTTTCATAATTCAGGCTTATAGCAGTCACTTCATTTGCCCTCTCCCTCTACTCTTCCCTCTCATCTGCCAGCAATAATGAGTTCTTTCTTAGCTACTGCTCTACTGCCATGCCTGCCTGCCTCTTATAATGTTCCCCACCATGATAATGGACTAACCCTTCAAATCTGTAACTACCCTCCAGATTAATTGCTTTATTTTATTTATTTATTTATTTTTGTAAGCTATCTTGGCCATGACGCTCTTCACAGCAACAGAACTAAGACAAATATGGTACTTATACTCTTTTTCTTTCTTTCTTTGTGTCTTCTGGGTTTTTTAATTTGTTTGTTTTTAATGTTGCTATTGTTTTTGAAATAAGGTACTACTATGTAGCCCTGACTGGTCTGGAACTCATTTTGTAAAGCAGATTCATCTTGAATTCACAGGTTCACCTGCTTCAGACTCTTAAGTATTGGGATTAAAACCATGCACCCCTATGAAAATTCGTATTTATGTTTTTATAAGCACCATTATAAATGGTGAAAAAACATTAATCACATCTGAAAAAGATCAGCTATTATTAATTAGCTGTCACCTACTTTTAGTGAGATGGAAATTTCTATAACAAAGCAGCATTCACAGAACACAGTTATTTTACCTTTCTTGGCTGATTCTTCTTGCTTCTTTTATTGAGAAGAGGCTTGCCATCAGCAAAGTTGGTAAGAATTACTGCAATGGCTGTAAGAGTTTTGCCCTTTAAAATATTTTTAAAAGACAAATGGTCAGACTCTAAAACTCATCTAGAAAACATTTTAAAACCCATTTTAAAACAATAAAATACTGAATATAAGTCAAAGCCACAGCATGCATGATTATTAAACTATATAATTGTTAATAAAAAATAAGTATTTCATTTAGCGAAGAAAAATTTCTTCTAAATTACTTATCATTTATGATTGACTATAAGCACCAGAGAAATGTCATTTTATTGAATGACTTCCACTCTACATTGAACTATCATTTTATCATGAAACTAAAATAGCTATTTTCAATGAACCTCAGTTAATTTAAGATAATGAAGAATTTGAAAATGCATATGAAGACAATCACCTTCATTATTTTCAATAGTAAGAACAACAGTAATAAAATAAATAAAACTAGTTCTTTTAAAGAAGTCCCCAAAGTCTGGTCCTCTCATACCCTTTCAGGAAAATGTAAGATAAAAAATTATTTGTGTGTATGTGTAAGTGCATGTGTGAATATATGTATGTATGGAGGCCAGAAGAACCTCAGTAGCAGTTCTCAGACACTGCTACCCAACCCCTTTTTGAGACTATAATAATATCATCTCCCTTCAAACCCTCCCATAAACTCTTCCTTTCTCTTTCAAATTCATGGCCTCTTTTTTTTCATTAATTGTTATTATATGCCTATTTGCATACACTCATATACTATTATTACTTGAAAGAATGGGCAGCTGTCATTGTTAATGACTGAGTATCTACAATGAATTTTCTTGAAAGTAACCAATGTAAGGTTACTTTCAAGAAAATTGTCTTTAAGGAGAAGTACTGTATTTGTTGCAAGGGTTAATTTCAATTTTCAATCAAAAGGTAAAATGTTATAAAACTTGCACATTAGAGTATGAGTAAAGCAATAGCCAAGAAGATTTTCTCATAAGATTAGTAGTAATGTTAAAGAATACAAGCTTTCAATACTGCAGGATGAAGTCCACTATATGATGTGGATCTACAATTAGTACTTTCCAATGGGCAAGCAGCATCAGAAAATCAGTATTAGGTAAAGCATTCAATGTAAAATAGATGGATTTTTATCATAATAAATAACTGGAGTATAATTGCCTAGTGGTTAGTATCTTTAATGAATACTTGAATTTTAGTATTTTATCTTAAAAGCTTTCAAAATACTTGTGAGATTAATATCAATTGTCAACTTCACAGGAACTACCATCTCCTGGAAGACAAACATCTGGACATGTCCATAATGAAGTTTCTTTTTTTAAAAAATCTGGTTAATTTATTTAATTCTGAAAGATGGAGATGTGAGCAAGATGGTCACTGCTCCTTTTACTTTTATTTCTTGAAAATTTTTTAAAAATATTTTTTCTTATTTTACCTATCAATCCCAGTTACCTCTCTCTCCCACCCTCCCATGACCCCCACTACCCCCCATATACTCTCCAGGGAGGGGAAGGCCTTCCCTGAGAGATCATCAAAGTCTGTCAAGTCATTTGGGGTAGGGCCTAGGCTCTCCCCGCATGTCTCTAGGCTAAGGGAGTATCCCTCCATGGGGAATGGGCTCCCGAAGTCCATTTGAACTAGGGATACATCCTGGTTCCACTGCCAGAGGTCCCATAGACTACCCAGTCCTCCTAGCTAACACCCACATTCAGGGGGCCTGGTTTGGTCCTATGTTGGTTCCCCCAGGTGTCAGACTGGGGTCCATGAGTTCCTACTTGCTCAGGTCAGCTGTTTCTGTGGGTTTTCCCAGTGTGGTCTTTGCCCCTTTGTCACTCTTCCCTCTCTGAAACTGGATTCCAGTAGTTTGGCTCTGTGCTTAGCTGTGGGTGTGTACTTCTGCTTCCATCAGTTACTGGGTGAAGGCTCTAGGATGGCATTTAAGGTAGTCATCATTCCCATTATGGGGGAAGAGCATGTTAGGTGGCCTCTCCACTATTGCAGATTGGGGCATAATGAAGTTTCTTGACTAGGTAAATGAGGCATGATGAACCACTCTGTGTGTGGCACCATTCCATCAACAGGGGTGATCATCCACCTCCATTTCTGCCTTTTGACTATAGGTACAACATGACCACCATTCACATTCCTGCCCTTGTACCTTCCCAAGGATGAACTATATTACCCAGAACTGAAAGTCCAAAAAAAAAAAAAAAAAAAAAAAAAAAAAGATTCCTATCTAAAGAGATATGATACTATGGTGATATTTTGTTTTTTTGATCTAACTTACCTGTAAATCAGAGGGCAGAGATACCACTAGTTAACCATAAAGGCCATAAAGGTGTGGTAGCACACACCTTTAATCTTAGCACTTGGGATCTTACCATGCCTTTGATCCCAGTACCTGTAAGGCACATGCCTTCAACCCCAGCACTAGGGAGGAACAGGAAGTGATATGGGTGGGCAGAGAGATGAATATAAAGTAGGCAGAGAAAGAAATTAGTCCCTTTCCAGTCTGAGGATTTCAGAGGTTAAGAAGTCACTCTAGTGGCTGGCTGCTCTGCTTCTCTGAGCTTTCTGCTTTCACCCACTAATATCTGACTCTGGGCTTTTATTAATACCAACTGAAACTTGTGCTATGTGATATCATAGAAATAAGAAAAGCAACTAATAATACTTTTCCCTTTATAATATATGTAAGAAAAAAGTCAACACAATCCCAACATGCCAAATAACATAACAATTAGACAGTTCAGCTACTACTTCTTCACCTCAGCATCAAAACAACTTGCAAAATTAAAGTGACAGCATTCTCATAAAAGCTGCTAGTGTTTAGAACTGTCTTTAAAATACATTATATATAAGATTTTTGTCTATTGTTCCTTTTACATATTTCCAAACTACTTTAATGCCTAAAACTATAAAAGAGCTCAAAGTGACAATTCTGTGACCAAACCCACAGGAATGGCTGGCTATGGTAACCAGTCACAAATATCTACTATGTTACATACCCAGTGTTTGAACTAGAATATGATTTCAAAAGACATTGTCTTCTTTCCTCCCACAGAAAAGCTGTTATTAAAAATGCCAAGGGGAGTTAAATGTGTAGGACAGTAGGTAGGATGCATGCCTAATACAGCTGAAGCCCTAGATTTCATCTCCAGGATGGAGAAAGGGAATGGGGGCAATAGAAAACTGCCAGCTGCCAGGGGTCTGAAGAGTCAAGATTTGGTCTTTCAATTTAGTTCTGAGTAGAGAACCTTAGTGTTAACAGGAATACAACCTCTAGGAATGGGGATGAATACTCCTAGAAAATGTCACTGCCTATCATGGCCTCACCCTACTTGGGAAGTCCCAGGAGCTCCTAAGCATGAACTCAACCATGAAATATAATTCTGTCTTCAGCTTACCACTTTCTTGTGCTGCACGTAAGAAGAATGCCCTAGGAGATGGGGGCACTGCTTTCTGTCCTCTTCCCATGTCTATCTACCTTAACAGGCCTATTGGTCCTGATCCCATCCCCTGTCCCACTCCCTTTGTCTACTTTATTACTGCCACATTCTGAATTTCTATCACACTTGTTATGCTCCAATCTGACTTGTCACCACAACTGTCTTACTTTTTGTGCTACCATCTGACATCTCATGGCTCCTATATAACTTTCCATAAATCAGGTCAAACTCAGCACCTGCATTATTGTTTCTAAACTTCTCAGCAGATCTAGTGACACTGAAGTTGGGGTCATACAGCGAGCCATGACATGAGACTAGGGTCCACCTTACAATATAAGGGAACCTGTAGGAAGGGACAGCCACCTTGCCCTAGCTTAGGTTGATGGTAGGCCCTCCAACCAGATAATCACAAAGTCTATGGGATCATCAGCATAGTCCTGATCATTTCATTCTCTGGAATCTAAGGATTAAGGATGTCTGTCTTCACTGAGCAGTCTGCAACAGAAGCACAGCAAGAAACAAATAGGCCAGTATAGCTAAACAGGGTACAAGAAGGCTGTGAAACTATTACTTCTCTATTGTTGACATTACTGCTAATGCCAAAGGACTTCTTTCTTAAAGCAAAAAATGAGGTGCAGGTTCCTTAGTGGGAACTAACTGGGCCTTGCCTTTCTACTATTTTTTGCAATGATGGGGACTGAACTTGCTATCATTGACCTTTACTTTTTAAAAAACCCATGAAAGGCAGGTTGCCCTGAATTCCAATAAATAGACTAGAAATATATGCTTATATACTCATTGATGTTAATGCATTCTGTTACCCATGTTTAACTATTCTTTGTATTTGACTCTTCTGTTGATTCCTTAGAAGCCCCTAAGGAAAAAAAAAAAAAAAAAAAGTAATGTTCTGTCTACATTGAAAGCACAATCTAGTCCTAAACTAGCACCCAATTTCAACTTTAAAATTTCTATTTAGAAAATTGTAATTGCAAATTAAGATTTTTCTAACTGAAGAAAAATGAAAATTACCAAACCCATATCATCAGCTAAAATTCCTCCATGGACATTTTCCGGTCGTTCTTTTTCAGAAAAATTTGTTATTGTGTTATAATAGAAGTCATTTCGCTGTTCCCAGAATGGTGGAAGGTCTTTGCTGTTCTCTCGTAAAATCATCCAAGCCAGAGCTTGTTTTTGGTGTGGAAGCAATGGGGTCTCAATAGCCTACAAATACAATGTCATAGAGAAATACAGTGAGTCCTTTTCTTTCTTTCTTTCTTACTTTCTTTTTTTTTTTTTTTATGTTGTTGTTGTTGAGACTGGGTTTGTCTGTGTAGCCCTGGCTGTCCTGGAACTAGCTCTGTAGACCATGTTGGCCTTGAACTCACAGAATTCTGCCTGTATCTGCTGTCTGAGTGCTTGAATTAAAGGTGTATTCCATCACTGCCCAGCATCTGAGTTATTTTCTTATACTTTGAAATATACAAATTACTAAGACAGTTAATAATTCTGAAGATTTACATTTGAAATGTTGATTTACATTTTTGAGTTCTTTATATTTTCTAGATATTAACCCCAAAACAGACATGAAACTGGCAGAGATTACCCCAATGTTCTAAACCATCTTAGCAGCCCATTAACTGCTTCCTTTACCATGCAGAAGCATTTCATTTTATGCACTACCCTAGTCAGTTCTTGAAATTATTTCTTGAATTTTTAAAATCCTTTTCTGAAATTGAAATATCTATCAGCAAATGAGGAAATAAAGAAAACAAGCATTTCTCATAAAATAAAATATATATGGTCACTAGGTAAGTAAAAGAGTGCCCAATGTCCTTAGCTATGCACTAAGAATTCACCTTTGTAAGAACAGATAGTTTTAAAAACCAACAGAAAATGTTCACATGGAGTGTTCACATGGAGAACACAGGAGGAAGGGAACTTTTATATAATGGTAGTGAAAATGTAAGTTAATGCAACCACTATCAAAATCAGTATGAAGGTTCCTAGAAAAGCTACAAATAGAACTACCATATAATCCTGCTGTGAATAAGCTCTTCTAAGTTTAATGTGGCATTACAACAGTACTATCAGCAGTAGACAATCAGCCTAAGTGCCCATCAAAAAGTAAATAGACAAAAAAAAAAAAGCAGTGTATTTACACAGTAGAGTTTCATGTTTCATGCGTCCATAAAACACAAAATTATGAGTCTAACAGAAAAAATAGATAGAATTGGATCATTATTATTTTGTGGGAAAGGCCAGGCCTAGAAAGAAAGACTAGTGTATTTTCTCTCGTGTTAGGAACTTAGGGTGTGTGTGTGTAGATATCCATATATACATGAAAATAAGAAAGAAAGGAAAAGGTAACAGGGTATGAATACAATGAATCTCAAAATATATTGCCTACCTGAAAAATAATGTTATTATAAAGCTTACATTTGATATAAAGCAATTGTTAAAAATGCACAGGTTCTATACCTCAGCTGGCTCCATTTCACTAGTTTTCTCATCTTCTTTTAAATCTTCAAATAATTTGTCAAATTCCGTTTTGAGCTACAGTTAAAAAATGATTAATACTGAACAAACCAATCAAAGTAAAAATTGCATATAATTCAGACTTCAAATCATTTTCATTGAACAAGTCAAATAATCAAGTGTACATAAAATGAGTATCTGAGACACTAAACTACTTACTGACAAGCACTACAAGATGATTTCCCTATAGAAGTAAATGTACTCATTTCAAATGAATACATAAAAGATCTACAAAGGACATGGCTATAGCTGCTGAGAGAGCACTGGCCCAAACATTTACAAGGCCCAATCCTAAAGCTACTGAAAGGACAGTAGTGAAGTCATAAGATGCCAGTCACAATCCTATCACAAATGACCCTGAATATGCCTTTATCTTACTTTCATAAAATTAAGAACATGAAACAAACTGCCAAGGGTCTCTCTCTCATTAGAACTCTATCATTCTGTTAGCATTTAAACTATTTTAGAAGACCTAAGTAAGATACATGTAACTTGCTATGTTCTACAAGACAGTAGGATAATTTCAATATTAGGCTAATGTAACTGACCATTTAAACTGATCTTGTTCCATTTTAACGCAACTTACACTGTATGTCTTACAATTTCTTTTATAAATTAGCATATTAATGCATAGCAGTCATCTAGAAAACATCATACCAGCTTAATAGAAGTGGCTTACAGTTTGTCTACAAGGCACAACCCTTCAACATACAGGGAAAACTGTAACTGGGAAATAAAAAGAATACCTCTAGTGGATAGACATATAAAATGTTTCAATGTTTTTGTCTAAAACCACTAAGGGATATAAACAGTCATAAAAATATTTAAAGGCATGCACCACCAACACCAGGTGGTGCATGCCTTTAATCCCAGTACTCAGGAGGCAGAGACAGGCAGATTTCTGTGAGAGTTTGAGACCAGCCTGGTCTACAAGAGCTAGTTCCAGGACAGCCTCCTAAAACCACAGAGAAACCCTGTCCTGTCTCAAAAAACCAAAAAAAAAAAAAAAACCCAAAAAAACAAACAAACAAACAAAAAAAAAACCAAATGATTGAATTTGCAACCTTACTGAAGGAGAATAACTTGCACATTCTAGTTTTTTTTTTTACTACTACTATGAACATTGTGCAAATTTAAAATACAAAAACACTACATACCCAGTGTGACTTCATGTATGTATAATTGCATATATGTTAATCGACCCTCCTTTTCATAGATCTAATCAAAAATATAATGAGTCATATGTTTATGTATATACTAAGCCTCTATACAGACTTACCTTGTCACTGTTCTCTAAATACACTATAACTACTACATATCTTTTATACATATAACAAATATAATTAATTTAGACATTGTTTAAAATATATAAGATGTGCAGTGATTCTATACAAAAATACCATTTTTTTATATAAAAGACTGGATGATTCCAGTTTCTGTGAATTGTAAGGGATGACTATAGTTCATCACTGCTTTTTAAGATTATGTTTGCAAATGAGTATCTAAATTCTATGTAATACAGTAGTTTTCATTATAATTTTAACAGCATACCTAAAGATCACTAATACCGGCACATACATACTTATCCTGTTCTTTTAAACAGCAAACTTTATCCTAAAAATTTACATTAGAGTACAAAATAAAAGCATACCTGAGGCAGGAATGGTGACAAATGTCTGTAATCCCAATATCTGAGAATCAAAGGCAGGAAGACCAGGAGTTCAAGGACATTCTCAGCTACACAGCTGTGGTGGTTTGAAAGAAATTGGCCCCCAAAGGGAGTGGCACTAGTAGGAGGTGTGGTCGTGTTGGAGGAAGTGTGTCACTGTGGAGGCAGGCTTTGAATTCTGATATATACTCAAGCCATGCCCAGTGAGACAGACTACTTCTTGTTGCCTGTGAAAGACTAGAACTCTCAGCTACTTCTACACCACCATGTCCCACCATGATAATGGATTGACCCCTAAACTATAAGCCACACAATTAAATGTTTTCCTTTATAAGAGCTGCAATAGCAACCCTAAGACAAAAGTGACTTTAAAATAAGTCTACATGAGACCTTGACTCAAGGTAAAAATGAACAAAAACAACAACAAAAACCTCACCTGGTCAGTTGTCATCTGTACTGCAACATGAACTGGCATATTATAGCTTGGTCCAGCTCTCCCAGAGCTCCAACTATTTTCCAAACTCAATCCTAAAGCTATAGTTTTCAAATGGTAAAGAAAAAAAAAAAAGCCAAATAAAGAGATTAAGTATCAGAAATAAACATAAATACCGAACAGTATCAAAAATTTCCACAGATCTGGGGATATCTCAGTGGCAGAGTAATTTCCTAGCATGGATAGTCCCCAGAACTGCAAAAAAAAAAAAAAAAAAAAAAAAAAGATATAATGTATATAAATGCTCTACCACTAAACTATACCCCTAGACCTACAAAAATTAATACTAAATCATCCCCACAAGAAAAAAAATCATGTTATTAAATACATATTTGAATAAATTCTAAGTAAACATCAAATTCTTTTTCACTGCCTACTGAGCAAGTCATCTTGCCCAAAAGTTACAAAAACGAATGTTTAAAATGAAGAATTTTGTTAACGTTGGGGAAAATTAAACAGGATACATTGACCCTCCTTGTGTATTTTTGTGTATGGATAAATCTATAGTTACAAACATGCAGTTCTATATTTGGACATATAATGGTAGGTCTATAAGATTAATTATTTCATTTTGTATGAATAATCTATGACAGTTACACAACGAAAAAAATCATTACATTGATATATTCCACAGAATCTGTCCTGTTGTTAAATGACACATAATTGTATTTTAATAGAAATATAAAAAATCAGCAATTTCTTCAAAAGATTTTTTTTTTAAAAAAAGGTTACAGCTTAGATTATTTTACACATATTACTTTATCCAATCAAACTCAGAGAGACTAATTTACAATCCCTGCATCTTACAATATCAAACTTACTTTTTGGTGTGGGACCCAATTTAAATCCATGTTTTGTCAACTGATTTAAAACCACTTTTCTATTTTCTTCTTTTCCCCAAAATGTCATATGAAGAGGCATGGTAAAAGTATTATTTGCACCAAAGGGAACTACCCTATTATAGTAAGAGGAAAATGAGAAATTAAGTTATTTTATACTAATTCTGAATATATTGAATATATCACTCAAACCAAAAAAAAAAAAAAAAAAAAAAAAAACAAGAACAGATTATTTAAGCAAATTTGAAAAAGAAAATCAACAATCAGAAGGAAAAGGTGATTCTTATAACAAAAGAACTTGAGATGACAGAATAAATTAGTTTACAAAAGATAGCTCACATCCAAGATTACAAAATAATGCATTTATTTGAGAGGATAGTTTTAGCATCCAGCATTTAGTAAAGATTCATTCTCAACTGAAAGATGTTATAAAGGAAAAAGCAAAGAGAATCCCTAACCACTTATTTTATCTTCCAAATCAGCTGGGATGAATAATGTAAGCATTAGGAATATTTACACTAAGGTCACAAACACAAACACTCACAGAGAACAAGCAAGCAGAATGAAAATGAAATTTTAACAATGAAAAACAAAATGGTGAAGAAACTGGCAGAGCATATGCCTTTGCTAAAGGGCAGCCATTTCCTAAGTCCCAGTCAATGGAGACTACATACCAGACTATCATTTATCAAAAGAAAATTCTTAGTAAGTTTTGCATTCAGAGACAAAATTAGTAAATGGACAATATAGAATATCCTGACTTCATTTCCAATAAGAAATGAAGCAAAGTAAAAAATGTGCAAGTGAGCTAAACATGAGGGCACACACTTCTAATTCTAGTACACAGAAGGCTAAGACAGGATTGGGAGTTCAAGGCCAGGCTGTACTAGCAAAACCCGGTCTCAACAGCAGAAAAGATAAAACACCCCATCACCATGAAATTCCTCTGCTAATGCATGCCTGTCATCCAGCACTCAAGAGGAGTCTGACGCGGGAAGATCACCATGAGTTTAAGCTGGGTATAACTTCAAGAGACAGGATAAGGATATACACCCTAGTATGTAAACACAGGTCTGATTTTCTCCATGGTAGCAATATAGTAAGAAAATAAGAGTACAACTATTTGATGGCTAGAAAGGAAAGGCAAAGAAAAAGACTTAAGACATCAGGAAGTAGTGATCAAAGGTACCATGACAGGAAATTTACGTATTAAAAGATATCTGAAAATCACAGTTACTTAAACAAACTCTAAAAGCACATACCCTTCCACTTGTGCCAATTTGTTATCCATGATATAGGCCAAGGCAGCAGCAAGTTCTTTCTTTAAATGACCAACCTGATTTCCATTCACATTATTTACTCTAATTGCATTCTTATCATATGGATTATTGGGCTCTCGTTGTAAAGAAACCATTTCATTATTATTTACCTAGTAAAAATAAGGAACAGATAGTAATAATATAATGATAAACAGTAATAGCTTGACTTCCTTGTACTGTTTCTAGAATTTCCGTTCATGCATTCATTATTGTTATTTTTTTCTTTTTCTTTTTTTTTTTTTTTCTGTTTGCTTGCTTGAGATAGGGTCTCATGTATACAAGGCTGACCTCAAATTTGCTCTGCAGCCAAAATTGGTCTTGAGCTGAAGATGATATTGAACTTTGATCCTTCTGCCTCTGTCTGTTGAGTGCTAAGACTACAAATATGTACTACCACTTCATTTATATTATGTTGAGAATTGAAGCCAAGGGCTTAGTAAAGACTACAGAGCAATCTACCAACTGAGTGAGCCATAGGCCTAGTTCAAACTAGAAATAGTAAGGAATATAGTTTATAATGATTCTTTCACATTTTCTAATTTATATTCATTAGAAGCTAGTAAGTCTTTACAATGTGAAAAGTTCAGTTAAGTCTACCTTGAAGATTCATATTACCTGCATTTTTTAGTGTGATATATTATGCATGATTTATTAAAGCTTGACTGAGGATTCAGAAAGCAAAGTCAGCCACAAACTATAGAAGCCAGGCATACACCTTAATCCCAGCAGCCAGAAGCTAGGAGGTAGTGGTACACACTTTTAATACTAGGACTCAGGATTAAGATATAGATGGATCTCTGTGAGTCCAAGGCCACCCAGATCAACAGTCTAAAAGAGAATTATAGCTCACACCTTTAATCCCAACATCAAGGAAGTATGTAAGACAGGAGCAAAGATTCAGTAGAGACATTCATTATCCAGCCACATTGAGAAGTTACAATCTGAGGTTTGGTGAGAGCTCATGAAGACAGGATCAGCCCATTCAGCCTGAGGTAGAGGTAAGAAGCTAGTGGCCAGCAGCTTTGTTTTTCTGACATTCAGCTTAAAATGTGAACCCTATTACAGCTAATCTTTGGATATATGTGCCCCAAAATGGTATGACTGGATCAGGGACACAAGTGCATCCATGTTCATATTTACTCTATTCATTATAGCTAGCACATGGAAATATCCTATATATCCATCAAGTGATAATAAGTAAAAATTTGGTACCTTTAAAAATGGGATTTTATTGAGTTATAAAGAAAAACAAAATTTTCAAGTCAAGAGAAGCTGAAAAACATTATACTGGGTGAAATAACCCAGAAAACAGACATTACATGTTCTCAATCATATGTGGTTCTTAGTGTCAAGTCTTTAGATGTATATGTTTAATTTGGAGTACCTGTAGAATCCAGGAAACCAGAAAGGGACAATGGGCAGAGGGTGCTTAAGGAGGGGAGAAAGAAGTTGGCTGATAAGAAAGGTAAAAGAGGAATAATGGAGGTTTAAGTGGAAAGAGGGATGAGAGGGTAGAACAGAGGAAGGGTGAGGGGATAATTAGCATGATGGGAAAAAAAGCCACACAGAAATCATGTGTGTGTGTGTGTGTGTGTGTGTGTGGTGTGTGTGTAATTTTTTTTCCCAAATAAAAGAATTTAGAGTTATCCTATACAGGTAACTATGCTCATCCCAGAATCCCATTTCCCAAGTTTAAAGTTCAATGTCAGGCATGGGATTCTGGACTTCGAGTTCTCCAAGAAACTTCCAAAACAATACAGTATACTGTCTTGGCTCTTGGCTGTCCTCCAGAACATCACATAAGACAAGTGTAAAGACACTATACTGGCCACAGGATCTAGAGAAATGAAGTTGGTACTGGCTTATTCCCTGCTGACTAGCTTTCATATTAAGGCAAGGTGCTATGGAGACTTCTAGGAGAAACAGTCACTGATAGTCTTACCCAGCTGAAAACCACAAGAACTGGAATAATTACTAGTGTAGCAAGAAACGTTCTTAAGTACAACAATGGCATGAATGCTATAGGAATAATTAACCACTTTCTCTTTGAATTTATTTGTATTAATGTATGATTTCAATGTATACATTTACATTTATAAAAAATAAGTATAGAATATATATTGTAAGTTACTGTATGAAAATTCAACACATTTTATCTAATTTTAAAATAATAAAGGTATTACCTACAAATACTATACAGTGGAAAAATGAGCTAAGTATTTAATCAGCATATATTCTTTGTCTTTTTATTTTTCATGTTTTGAGACAGGGTTTCTCTGTGTAACAGTTCTGGCTATCCTGGAACTTGCTCTGTAGACCAGGCTGGACTCAGCCTAAATTCTTACTAGTTAACTAGTATTATACAGATTATTCTAAGATCAATAAAAGTAACTGCTAATGGGATTAATAACCTAATACTTCACAAAACTATAATTTAGAAACAATGTAAATTTCACAATAGTACAAATCTAAAATACAACTCAGAAAGGAGTGTGAGAACAAAAGAGCAGTTAGATACTAAATAAGAATGGATTGCTAAGCAGTGGTGGCACATGCCTTTGATCCCAGCACTCAGGAGACAGAGACAGGCTGATCTGTGTGAGTTTGAGGCCATCCTGGCCTAAAAAAGCTACTTCCAGTACAGCCTCCAAAACCACAGAGAAATCCTGTCTTGAAAAACAAACAAACAAAAAAGAATGGATAGATTGCTAAAAGGACTAGAAGAAAGAAAATATTTCAAGAGCAAAGACTGGAACAAAATTAACACAAGTGTAAACAAACATTTGAAAATCATGGCAAGAAAAATAAATGATAGGGGGAAACCAGAAAAATGAAAAATTACAGTAAAAAATATTCAGAGGCAATAGAAGACATAGGTAGTATAGAGATAACAGCAAAGAGATCAAGTCAGAGAGAAGTGAATGAGAGAATATGGAGTTTCTAAAAAAGAAATGACTTTGAAATAAAGCAAACATTGAAAACTATAATTTTAGAATTTTTTCTGAAATGGAAACAAATTTACAGAAAAAATACCCTGAACTATTAGACTTTTAAGATAAGATTATCTTTTTAATCATCAAGCAAAAAGAAACTCCAGTTCAGTTAAGTGGGAAAGAAAATCCTACTGACATCAACTTTCTCTAAAAATATACTGTGCAGTATTAGGATATAGGGAAAAAATGTGGATTAAGCACTTTATATTTAGCCAAACTCTCAAGGACAATGAAAATTATGAATTTACAAAAACTCAAGAAATAATTGTTCTTTCCAAAGTAATCTCCTAGATTGCAGATCTCATATAACTACTAAACAATATGAAATGTTTCAACATAAAAAATAAAGAGAATGAAAAACAAGATAAATGGGAAACACAGAATTCCCCCAAAGTATCTCCTGATAACTTACTTCAATAAAAAAAAAGTTCTGAAACCATCAAGTACTCAGAAGGCTAAGACAATTGGACCACTGTGAGTTTCCTATGAGTTTAAGGTCAACCTGGACTACTTAGTGAGTTCCAGGCCAGGCTAGGCTACAGAGTCAAACCCATCTCAAACTCCTACAACAACAAAAACCTTTTAACAAGCTTTACCATAAAGATACAAGGGAAGGGGAAAAAAATGAACAAAATCAACAAGACTCTGAAATGCAGACCTTGTTTTTGACATTCAAATATGTAAAAGAAAACAAGAATGGGCTTTACAGCCCATACCAAAGATCAAAACCCTGTTTTGATCCTGATAAAACACATTTTAAATATCAAGAGAATCCAGTTATTAATTGTTATGAAAATGAAATATAAAAACTGTTTAAGATGTATTTTATTTTTAATCATGTGTATGGGCATATGTGTGAGTCCCCATGTATGCCAGAAGAGGACACAGGACCTCTGGCATACATGGCGACTTGTAGTTAAGGGAGTTGTCAGTTGCCAGCCTTAAGTGCTGAGAACAGAACTCAACTCCAGTCCTCTTGCAAGAGCAGCCAAGTGTTCTTATGCTAAGTCATCTCTTCAGCTCACAAACTGCACTTTAAAGAAATATATACTGAACTATACTACTATAAAATGATATTTAGTATTTGATTTTACAAAGATCAAAGACAAAAAGAATAAAACAATTATAGAAAATACTTGCTAACCTCTGACTCATTCTAATTTTATGTTTGAAATTTTCTCATGATGAATTAGATATTAGAAGTATTATCCAAATAACAAAGTTGGCCATAATGAAGATTAATGTAAAGAAAAAAATCTGTACTCTTTTGTTTTTCTCATGCACGCACATACATTCAGTTAGAGAACAGGAATAAATACAAAGAAAGAACAGGAGCTAAAATAAAGAACTCAAAAGTAAACAACTTATCTAGTAAAAATTGATGGATTTGAAGTTGCTTCCTAATTTCAGCATATATTTCCTGCATTGGGGCAAATCATTTAAGCATCTACATCTCTATCTTCCATTGAGGAAGAGAACCTCAATAATTACAAGAATCAAATGACAGCATGGGCAAAAGTGCTTCATATACTGTATGTAAAGTACAAATGTAAAACATTAATAAGTCACTCAAAGTAAAACATTAATATATTTATACATACATATACACCATTTAATACAATTTACTGCTGAAACCATAAGCATACAATTTTATTTAGTATCTACTCTTATACTCACTACTCCTGTGTAATAGCGCAGTCCAACAACTTGACCTCTCAAAGTTCCAAATAAAATGGAATCTAGCTCTTCATCACTAGTTAAGACGTCATCCGGAGGGATAATGTCTTGGAATTCAAAGCGTGGAAAGAAAGTTGGGTATGAAAGTCTTCGAAAATTTCCATGGGTTCCATACTGGACAGACTGCAAATACTTCCAAACAGGATCCATATATATATATATATATATATATATATATATATATATATATATATATATATATATTTAAAAAAAAAAAGCTCATTGACCAAGTATTTCTCAAAGAATACACTCAAACAGTATTTTACTTTTATTTTGGCAAGTGAAATGGTATGTGGCAAATATCACTAACAATTACCCTGACTAAAGCAAGAGCTGAGTGGGGAAAGCAACCAGGATAATCTGACCTGTTAAATAAAGGAAATTCTTTCCTGGGGAAATCTATTTACATTAAAATGTCAAAAATTTCAAAGCTAATTAATGAAAAAGATATTTATTTATATAAGCAAAATTACCATTGTATATAATTTTTTTCTTTTTGTTTTGTTTTTTCGAGACAGGCTTACCTAGCATCTCGCTCTATAGACCAAACTGGCCTTGAACTCAGAGATCTGCCTGCCTCTGCCTCCTGAGTGCTGGGATTAAAGGCGCATGCCCCACCATCTGACTATGAAAATATTTTTAACCTTTGACATAAAGCATTCACTGCTTTAACCCCTTCAGAACAACTATCTAAACTATGACATCATAGGCACCTGGCCAGAAGGCCCCTTACCTATCCAACACCCTGTTATTTTAAAGGTAACCTCAATCTTAAGGATAATTATTGCTAGAATGCGCATAAAAACCGCTGCAGATGAAAAGTGGAAGCCTTCTAGAAGTTGTCTTTCTCCAAAAAAAAAAAAAGAAAAGAAACCACACCGGGCTATCCTTTGGGAATTTCCCCTTCAGCTCCTCTTTAGCAGGCTTGTGCTCAAGGCTGTGAGACACCCAAAGTCGGGCTGTCTCGGAGTTGTCACAGTAACAATTCCTAGCATACCATGGGGTAACAATGCATACAGCACAGTGGGTATCTAATGGGTGTTTTGATGAATAAAGCACTTCGGGTGGAACTTCGGACCCCCACAGTGATGGAGATTTCCCAGCTTGCTGGCAGCAGATTCTCGGGTCAGCCGAGATAACGCTTTGCATAAGCCAAACGTGCAAGCGACCAGCTGAAAGAATACAAGCTGCACCTATAGCGCGCCTGGAGCGCGTTCACTTGAAGACAGCGCGGGCCACGGGCCTCGCGCCCCACCCCCTCAGCCCTTCACCTCTTGTACATCCAGGACATGGCGCCAGGCGGGGTGACCTCGGGATGCCCTGGGCGCCCGGACTTTCTCAGGACGCCTGAAAATGTCCTTCAAGGTCTCGCGCGGCCCAGGGACCAGGAACCAAATCCAAGCCGTGAGGAAGCTAGCCTGGAGAGAAAGGCGGCCGCAGGTTTATTTAGAAGTCCACTCCCACCACTTCAGCGACACTCCGAGAGGCCAGTGACGTAATGTGATCGGCACTGCGGTTGTCCAATCGAAATGAAGAAACTGTGAAAAACAGCCAATCAAGGTGTTGGAGGGTGGGGAGTTCTGCCCCATCCTACATTCATAGGCAATGAAATTTTGGGGAGTTCCATCCGGGTTCTTCTGCGCTCTGAGGGAGGTTGCGCGGGAAAACCTCTAGGCCTTTCAAGTGGCTTAAAGGCTCCATGAAGGAAGTAGAGGAAAGACTTCTTCCAGCCCAAAACCATAAGGTTGAGCCCAGCTTTCATGGCACACACCGTTAGTCCCAGCACTCGGGAGGCAGAAGCAGGAGGATCTCTGTGAGTTCGAGGCCAGCCTGGTCTACAAGAGCGAGTTCCAGGACAGCCTCAAAAGCCACAGAGAAATCCTATCTCGAAAAAACAAAACAAAAAACATAAGGCTGCCTCTTTAGGTCTGAACCTCCCTAGCCCACCTAATTTGATATACTGCCTAACAGCCCTGCATGAGATTCACTGACTATATTTAATTAGTAACCTCGGTGTGTGCTAGATTGAATCCTGGAAATCTGAGGGAGAACATAATTTCCCTCTCTCACCTTATTTTCTTGTATTTAATGAAATTTTCATCACTTAGTAGAAGAAAGCCAAAATATAGGACAACCTTACAATTCTGTTGCTGAAAATGGTCCAGCACTGGTGAAAGTTGGGGTGGCAGCTGTGGCCACTTATGTTTTTCTCGAGAAATTGAAGTAAGCACTGTAAGGAAACTTTATGATCTAAAGGGAAATCCGGCCTTAGGGTTGTGTGTGCATCAGTCACAGCCAAAGTATAGGTGGTTCCTATACCTTGAAAGACCACAAAGACACTATTGAAGCAGTCTTTTCGCTGTTGCATCTTCACCTGCACCTAAAATAGGAGGCTAATGCTGGTGTTGAGCCAAACAAACATAATATGGTGTGCTGTAAACATCACAATTGCTAGATGTATTTGTAAATGTTTAAAACACTGACAATCATCCTTCCTAGAGTAGTCAATTTCATGCTTCCATTGGCATAGTATAAAAGGTGGGCAGCTTGTGTGTGTTCATTGTCTTAAATAATGATGATCTGTGCACCAGCAGTGGAATGAGAGCATTCCAAGTTGTTCACTGGCATGGCACCCTGGGAAATACTAATGTCAACAATAACAAAAAAAAGAACAACAAACAGACAAAAAACAATTCACTTTAACAGGCTTGAAAGGCAAATTATCAGTGAGCAAGGGCTGGGAACAGAGATGTAGATCACCACAAATGCTATGTTCCAATGAAAGATGTTTGGTGAAGTTTTTGTATTAACAAAACAAAGAAAGTTGTAAATCAAGACACTTTTCAAATAAGGTGTTGGGACCATTAGGTAGGTAGAAAAGAGTATAACAGGAAACCTCTGTCATATGCCTAAGGTTATTATTGGTATTATCCTTAGCTTTTTAGTTTATTGAAAACTAGTGTTTCTTGTACATTCCAAATGATTTACCAAATGGTTACAAAAATGTATTTGGTACAGAGGAGACCAATAAATGGCTACTAAGAAGGCTAAAGGTGGACCAATATCATTTGGCTCTGGGATTGCAACATTCTAAACACTGCACAATCATTGCAGCTCTAAACAGTTGATCAAACTTGCAGAAGACTCTTTTGAAGGTCTATGATCTTTCCTGGAATTGTCGTACATATTAATTAAGCAGGTACTCTTCCACTCTAGCCCCCACTGATATAATCTGAAGCAAGTATTTCATTCTTCCAAACAGAAAAAAAGTAAAGATGATGATGACAACTTTCTTTCAGTTATTGTACTTTCTTCATATTGTATTATGGTACAAATAGCAAAGTATGTATTGAATGCTAGGGCCTATCCAGCGTAGGCAAGCTCTCCACCAGAAAGCAATATCCTCAGCCTTTAGTTTACCTTTATCTTTGTTTGTTTTTCAAGTTTGTTTGTTTTTCAAGTCACGGTTTCTCTGTATTGCTTTGGAGCCTGTTCTAGAACTAGCTCTGTAGACCAGACTGGCTTTGAACTCACAGAGATCTGCCTGCCTCTACCTTCCGAGTGCAGGGAGTAAAAGTTTGCACCACCAATGCCTGGCTTTATTTTTATCTTTGTGACATGGACTTAGAAAGTTGCCCAGGATGACCTTGAACTAAATGCATAGCCCAGGTCAACTTTGACCCTGAAGCAGAATCATCAGCCTCCATGGTAACCTGTATCATCAATCACAGCTGATTACATTTTATATGTAAAATTAATAAAGCCATGCTCATTCGACTGAAAGATAAAATTCCATATAACATATTTCTCTCAAGACATAGCAGCTTTTTCCTCTGAAAACAAATCCCAATCCCCAACAACAAACATAACCCATTGTCAATTTCAGCATTGACTTTCAGCTATAAAACCAGTGTATTTACTCAAGTAGTCATGCAAAAAGAAGCCCTATACACGCTTCTTTTGCCAAAGAGGCTGCCATCATTCATCTAATATATATATATCATCATCTCAGGATTCATCTGAAAATTGGACTCAAAGTGTAACACAACAATGCTTCTTTAGCTAGTGCCTAAATATATGTAAATGTACAGATTCGTGCTTTTGTAGTATCAATCCATTAAAAATATGCCATATAATTTTCTAATTATACTATTATTGCCAAATGCCTAAAATGGTTGATATTTTATGTTTGATAATTACATGCTGAATAAATAAGACAGAAGGATTTCACTGAGGCTGAGACTAGCTGAAGGAAATACAGAAGAATGTGATAGAAGACTTCAGTGTGTATACCCCTGCATGAATTAGCACACATAATATCACACATGCATTCATATATACACACAAATGCACAGAATAAGAGCCAAAGAAATTAAGAAAAGAGAAAAAAATGTTATTTATTTAGAAATTTTTTTTCTTACATAATCAGGCACTAATTCTATGACAAAGTTCTGGGTAAACCATAGTTGGGGAAATAAAAAAAAAGTGATAGAAAATTAATGCTGAATATAGTTTTGCTTGATTAATTGGTATCAAGTTTAGACAATGAATAGCAGGGCTAGAGAGATGACTCAGTAGTTAACAACACTGGCTGCTCTTCCAGAAGACCTGGGTTCAAGTCCCAGTAACCACATGGTAGCTCACTACTGTCCATTACTAGTCATAAATTCAGGCAAAACACCAATGTACCTAAAATAAAAGTAAATAATTTTTTAAATTTGTAATATTATCTTTGATATTATCCTTGTAAAATGAATTATTATAATGACTCCTTCAACCCATAATGAGGAATTTGGTTGGTTGAGGTTTGGGATTGAAGGAGTACACTACCACACCTGGCTCTGGCCATAGTCCTTTAGTCAGCAGGACACCACTCTAAGTCTACCTTTATACAGATATGTAAATGGAATTATTTCCAGCTACTGCCATGACCATGCCAAACCTTTTTTCTTTTACCTAATAAACACTGGATATATTGGTGGACATTTTGTTCCTAGTTTGTGGCTAAAATATTAAAAGATGTGCTTTCTTTTTTTTTTCATTGTATAATTTTAGCTTATTGTCAAAATCAGGTGTTGATAGGTGTGTGGATTAATATCAGGGTCTTCAATTATGTTAATTGATGGTGATTTGAAGTGTAATTAGTAAATATAT